GAACCCAAACTCTATTTTAAAAGTACTTGGGAAAAATTTATCATATATATTTGAGAACTGAATCTGTAGTGGTTGACAAATAAATAAAACAAACCAATTATATTCATAAATTAAACAAATTTTTAGACATATATTTGCTACCACTTTCTAATTTCTAATAGATTTCACATCAGAATGGTTCTTTCACAAATTGGTTTACCTTCATAGTGGTTTGATCGGACTAATTGCAAAAAACCGCGTGGAGGCTTTCAGCAATAGGAGGCGTTGGTAGTATCCCCTCTCGAAGAACCAAAATTTTTCTTATACGTTTCACTGGTCATGTTTAATGGTTGACATAAATAGGGTTAAAGCTTAAGGTTGTTTACGCAATACGCATAGCTAGAGAATATATTTACTACACTTTACAATAAAATATTAAAAGTAAGTATTCTTTTGACTGGTTTAATTGCTGAAGCGTGAAGGTTGGTTAAAAAAACAACCGTAATTGGTAAAAACATATGTCAGGAAGTATCACTTCCTAGTGAGTAAATATTTGTAAAATATTCACGTAGATAATTGCTTTTATTTTAATCATCATTTTTGAACTTCATGCTTTTATCTAAACGATGTATTGTATAAAGGCTAGATATGATAATCTTATCGCAATGGTGTTCTAAGAAAATAAGATCACCATCCTACTGTTTTCGCCCAGAGAACTTCAACCGATTTAATTGATACTTACTCACCGGATCACTCTAGATGAAGAAAAAGAATAATTTTTGCGAGTTCATTAAAAATTCAACTCATGTCTGCTGATGTGTAGAGGTTTTTGAACTCTTTATGCTCAAAAGTGTTGCTGAAAGAATATATATACAACTTTTAAAGTACCCCCAATAGTTTTATTACCTAGAAAAATTCCTTCTAGATACCACTACGTAGGTGAAGAATAATTGACTTGCAAATACTTCTGGTGCAACTTGTTCAAATGAGTACCTATATTTATCAGTTACGAAACAAAATTTTTTGGATATTTTACTGTCATGGTTTGTAGTCTTTGAGTAAAGGAGATGGTACAAAAGAATCATGCAAATTACTATCTTCTATTTGTAGTTATTTAAGTACTTTTTCACTTAACTTTTTCAGGAAAATTGGGCAAAAAAATATACCTCTTATTTTTCACAATAATATAAACCACTAAAATTGACTACTATTTTCTTAGACATACTTCATTATATTTTTTTAACACGTTGAATGTCATGGGGGTCACCGGTGAACGGCACTGAGTTTGTTCGTAGCTCCACGGGGGTCACCGGTGTCCGGCGAAGCCAAGATTATTAGAAACACATAATTCGAGTCAATTTTTAATGCTTTTAATTTTTTTATATATTATTAGCGTTACTAAAATGGTTTGAAGAAATTAATGCAATATAGAACACACAAAAGTAGTTTTGTTTATATACACAGAGATGCCAACTTGCTCCGGACAGCAAAGAAATATNTTCGAGTAAATTTTTAATGCTTTTAATTTTTTTATATATTATTAGCGTTACTAAAATGGTTTGAAGAAATTAATGCAATATAGAACACACAAAAGTAGTTTTGTTTATATACACAGAGACGCCAACTTGCTCCGGACAGCGAATGAATATTTTCAATTGGTAGTTTATTAATTGTGATTCTTGGTTTAATAAATTCAATTAAGTAGATTTTTATCCATCACTGTTTCTCCACTAATCCACCACTAAACAATTCGTAAGCTTATAAAATTCACCACTTTTATAAGATGTGTCGTGCTAAACCTTTTAAAAACTAGCAAATTCTGTGTAATATTTGCAAGTTTAATTTGTAGTTATTTACCGTTTGGCCAGACGGGCAAGCCATGTAAAATTAGCGTGTTATTCACCGTGTTAAATAAAGTTTTCTGCCCCGCAAAGAGTTAGACTGCCCCAGAAAAATGTCTTAAATCCCCTTTCAGTATTTCGCCATATGTATGAAACTATTTCAATGAAAGGAAGAAAAAACATTGAATAGAATTGTTGATGGAAACATTTTGATATATTTCCAGATTCCTGGATCTATAATATTTATTTGCTAGAACTGCATAACGAGTACAAATGTATAAAGCTATGAAAATTAATTTTCAATTCTTAAAAATAAGCTTAACAATGGTACATCAATAATAAAGATTTTTATTTTTTTGTCAAAAAACAAATAATCAAATTATGAAGAAGAAAAAAAATGTAAGAGCGAGGTAAAATGTGGAAACATATCCTGAAGAATCAACACTTAACCGTCCGAGGAATTTATGATAGTAACAAATTTCTCTTTACTTTCTAAATAGTAAAAAAAAACTTTGTTCGCAATGTTTTTACTTCTACAAGGACACGTATTCTTTCATTCACCGTTGTCTGGAAGTTGAGATAGAAGCGTATAGAAAAGACCACAAGAATTACTATACAACAAAACAATTGATTTTAAGACTGAGTTTAGAGTCAAGGTTACAAGTTTCAATAAAATGCTTTTGATGTTGAATTGTTCCTTAGATAACAACGGTTATGCTTGAGATGTTACATTATAGAGAAAAGGGAGAAAAAAAATCAGGACTAAATATTTCTTCCCTGGACATAAAAAGATCTGTTAAGAATAAAGTAAAAGAGAACGAAACTGACCTTAATTATATTTATAAGAAAAAAACTCTTCATTTCGTAAAACTTAGCTTAAAATAGTTATGAAAATTTTAAAATTAGCAAACGATGTTAGAAACAGAGCTCTATTAATTGTCCAATATATCAAAACAACGCACTTAAACTAGTTAATCAGATAAGCAATTTTTAACAGAAGGAAATTTTAAATAGAATATATTTTTAGGTGTTTTATTTTTTTTTTCTTACTCTTTTTAAATATTTTAACCCATTTAATCTTATAGCATAAACTGGGAAATACTGAAGAGGTAAAAGAAGTGATAGTATATTTAGCGCAGTTTTTAAAGTTTCGTTTCAGCTATCACTTTAATTTTAAAAATTCTTTCAGAAAGAATTTAAACATATTGGTAGCCAATGTAATGCAGAGATGCCATCTTGCTCTGGACAGCGGATAATTATATTCCAGTCGTAGTCTGTTAATTCGTACAGCCTCATATGTTGGAGGTAATGTGAAAATAAAACAGTCGGGTCACCACTTTTTTTTATTTTTTTGAAAAAAAGACTCTGCCTTTCAAGCATTAACCCTTTAGCGGGCCCTTTATTTCTAACAAAGGTAAATTAAAGTATTTTTGGAATTGAAATTGTTTTAAGAACAGTAATTGATATAAAAAAAAACTCACTTAGTTCATAAAAATGCCATTTTTTTGGTGGTAAATATGTTTAACATGACCTATTAGGAACTTACTGACTTTTATTTTTCTTTATTTATTAAATAAATTCCTTAAATGCTACAAACTTCAAAAGGAATTATGTATTTTATAACTTTTATACGTTTTTTAAAAGTGACAAGTGGTTACATATTTTATTCAAACTCACTTCAAGAAAGCTGAAAATGGAAGCCTAAATTAAAAGTGGTAAAACGTGGTGGTAAGTATACTTACCACGGCCTTCAAAAGGGTTACGATAAAATGAGTAAGTGGGACGATAAAATGGACGATAAAAAGTGGGACGATAAAATGAGTACCAAGCATGCTTGGGGGTTCCGCGTTCGGCTGACCATCCAACACCTGCTCCTGCACCCCGGAACCCAAGGTCAAAGAAATTGAGATGGACACTGTAGGCCTTGGCACTCTGTGTGCTGTCGCGCCATTGATTTTAGAAACATTTAGTATCTAGATTTGGAAATTAACCATAAGAAAAAAAAGTGGTAGTACATTCTCGTCTATGCTAAGTGTACTTTCACTAATTTAATTTTTCTGCTGTTATCAAGAGCTCTGAAGACGTCGATAAAATATTATTCATTTAGAGTTAATACTTTCTGCTGCGAACTTTTTAAACTACTCTAGTTCCTTGACTTGAAACGGTTATTTCCAAATTCGACTTTTTAAAAATGTATAATTATTTTAATTGAGATTCATTTAATGTTTTTAAGATGAAAAAGTAGCTCAAGAATGTTGACAGTTGATGATGATGTGGGGGGGATCTCTGCTACTCGCTTTTATCCCCCTTGCTGTAAGGTGTATCTTTTGTGAGTTGAGTTGTTGATGCTAAACTCTCCCTCAAGAATGTTAAGTAGCAAGTTCTATAGATAAAATAAATTTTATAAAAAAAAAACTAGTGTTTAACTAAATGGTTCGTGCATTGATAAGTCCAATTGTGCTTATACGTACCATTTTATTTCTTAAATAAATATTATTTTTCATGCTCAAAACTTTTTTTTTGTCTTAATGACTGTAATTTAAGTAAATTTCACTTAAATAAAACCACATTCTATAAAATTTCCAGTTGTACCTGAAATTGATTAAAAAATGAATCGATAACAAACATTTTCTTTTCGTTTGTATATGTTTGTTAGTTCAAGTTGCTCGGAATATTCGATCAACAAATGTTATACAATTTTTAGAAAATATTTATATAAAAAGTGGTAGAGCATTTACTCTTAAATGTATAGATCAGAACCACTTAGTTCTTCCGGATACTTTCGCTAGAATACGGATCCGGATACTTTAAGCTAGAACATTAGCACTGAATTAAAGTATAAAAATTCTATAACTTTCTTTTAATAAAGTACCTTTTGCATTATTGTAAACGAAGGCGTGTATTTGTTTCTGCAATGTTTTCGCAGGCAGAACTAACTGATAGTCCTAATGATAAGAAATAAGTATGTAAATAAGTTTATGAATGAGTTATCCATAAAAATTAAACTATTTGCTTTCATGGATTGTATCGGCGCTTTTAGATTTATAACAAAATTGTTCTAAAAATAAATAACCAACTGAGGACTACTAAGTTTTTTAGTAGTTTACATATACTTAGTTGTATAAGAAACGATGTTTATATTTAATTTATGTGTTGATTTTGTGTGTGTTTCTTTTTTAGCTGTTTGCCATCATATGCATGGGATGTGGATCACCGGTCGTCACCACTTACACCAACTTCTTCATGTTCGTCGTTGCCATCTATTTCATCATCACACTTGTGTTTTGTGTTATCTACTTCTTCACGATAAAGAGGCTCCTTCCCAAAATACCCTGGTTGTTAATTGTAAGTTTCAAAAGATGCTGATTTAGGTTGACATCAGGTAGTAATATGCTCATCATATTTAGCATTATGCTGCATAATGTACACATCATGTTGCATTATGTTCACATTATGTAACATCATGTTCGCATAATACTATCTATTTCATCGTTGCCATTTATTTTATTATCACTCTTTTGTTTTGTGTCATCTACTTTTTCCCAATGAAAAGGTTCCTTTACAAAATCCCTGTTTGATGATTGCAAATTTCAAAACATATTGAATTAGGTTGACATATGCTCAAATTATTTTGCATTATATTCACATTATGCTGCACAATGTACATAGTGTAATTCATTATGTTCATCAAATATGACATTATGTTCACATTATGTTGTATTATGTGCTCAATAAGTAGTAAATCATTTTTGCAAGAAAAAAAAAGGAAAAATATATACCATATTTAAACATTTTTTAACTTTTTCGGAGCAGCAAATTTTCCTTGGAAATTTTAGCGGGCTCGAATCCCGCTCTTATCCTGGATGTATCTTCGTGCTGTCTTTCTCTGTATTTTGCTATCTGTTCTTTTATTTGACAAAGATTTATAAGCCTAAATTGAGCACACAAACCTGAAAACATATGTAATTCCAATAAACCAAACAAACCTCACTCGTGGTGAGGCTTTTAAAATGTTGGCAAAATTACCATTAATTCTGAAAGCTTTAGTTTTCAATTGTTTACCACTCTTTGAAACAGCGTAGTTGTTAGCAGTCTTGCTAAGTACACCAGCATAGCTTATAAGATTTTCCGTGACGCAGACCTTCCTATGACACACCAGCATGATATTTAGAATTTTAAGCTAAATGTAAACTACACGTAAATATTCAGTGAATTAAGTTTCCATTGGCATGGAATTTTTACTCGACTATTAAAATTAGAAAACACGAACGCAAATTAAGTATTGTTCATTAAGATTTCTAATAGTTCAATAGTAAAGGTTTAAACGTACGGTTTACACCGTGTTGTAACTTATTTTAAAGAAGTTTTTCTTCTTCTGTTCATAAAAAAATTTAATTTATTGACACACATTTTTTGTATTTCTCTTAAAATTTCCAATTTATTTGAATAATTACATGATTGCAAGATGAAATAATAATAAAATGAAAAGTAAAAATTGGTTTAAGCTATAGCACTCTTTACGATATGAAGAAAAAAATAATTCATGGCTCTTGACGCAACCTATCAAAATTGAGTGTTAAGGTTAAATCTTAGGTAACGAGTTTTAAATGCTTTTATGGTTGACCCCCCTCCCAGATTAATCCATTCGTATAAAGCTATTAGTTCATAATCGATCATGAGATTAACCGATTCTAATGCACATCTACTTATCGGCCATCTGAGGAACTTGAACCAAACTGTTAATCTGAGATAACGTTATATGTGACTTTAAAGCTTGTAAGATAAGTAGTTAAACTCGAAATTTATGAACTAAACATTTTCAACTTATTCTAAAACAGATTAAAATGTCTTATTTTTTTTCACTGTGAAAACGAAAAAATAATTTATTTCAGTTCTATTTGCCTGTTACTAGTTATGAAATAGAATTCTAGCCTAACCAAAATCATTGCTTATGAGTCAAAATTTCCCGATTCAATTTAGTTTATTTTTGATAACATATTTATTACAAGTTGTCTTCGGTATCTTTGGTATCTGAATTCACAATCTTAATGATTAGCACAAAATTACAGTTCCGCATTGCTTCTGATGTCTTCGGCAATGTTTTCATATATGACAATAACGTTGTAGTACAAATGGGGGGGAGGGGAGAAAGAAATCTTGCTCGAACTCGCAGTTTTTCGGTTCCCTAAAATAGTATAGTATTTTCAAATCGAAATCCAGAATGATGAAAAAATAATACATCTTGTCACCAATTTTTACTTTTCTAATATATATATATATATATATATATATATAAAAGTAAATAGGAAATAATAGGATAAAATCATATAGGAAGGTTAATAACCGCACAATGGCTCTCCGTGCTTGGCAGATCCCTTAAAACCATTGCAATAGTATTTTAAAGTGAAAACATTCGTGCCTCATTGGTATAAGCTCTCATAATTCATACTTTTAACTTATTTAATTAACAAGTAAAAATGATAAGATAGCTTTGATAAAAGATCAAGACCAAGAGGATGCAAAATTGTACACCCACCAACCTGTAACTCTCTTTTGATTTGGTTAAGGAATCGAGTGTCGCGACCCAGACCAATTGGCCCATAAGCCAAAATGATGTCCCGTGGTTGCGCAGCAACCCTCCCAGCACGGACGACCAAGCAATTTGCGAACACAAGGGAAGCCCCTTGTGTCCGCAAATCCCTTTTGATTAATAGCAACTTAAAAAAGATATGTCCTTACGTATTTAAAGTGCAAATTGGAGGCATAATGATTATTTTTAAATTATTTATTTAACAAGAAAAAATGATAAGATTGCTTTGATACAAGATCAAGACAAAGAGGATACAAAATTGTACACCCACCAACCTGTAACTCTCTTTTGATTAATAGCAACTTAAAAAATATATGTCCTTGCGTATTTAAGCATAATGATGCATAATGATGGAGGCATAATGATGGTGCATACATTAGTCGCTACGAGGGAAAAGGAAATTGCGTCATACATATTGTATTGTACAATTTGTTTCTTTCTTACTTTGTTTGTTTTTACAATATATAGGGGAGAGTGGGGTCAATTGTAACAGGGTACGATTGTAACAGAGCAAAAATTTCGAGTGTAGGGTTTTAGATTTGGTTCTTAGATGGCGCACAAGGTGTATTTAATAAATCTACATGTACACCCCTGCTGGCAACCATTTCCAGGTNCTAGCTTAATAAGGATATATATATATATATATATAAAAGCGAATTGGAAATAATAATAGGATAAAATCAAATAGGAAGGCTAATAACCGCACTATGGCTTTCCGTGCTTGGCAGATCCTTTAAGCCTTTAATGAGCCATTTATTTCCGGTAAAGGTAAATTAATATATTTTTGGAATTGAAAATGTTTTAAGAATTTTTATTTGATGTAAGAAAAGAAAAACTCATTTAGTTTATAAAAATGCCATTTTTTGGTGATAAATATATTTAACACGATCTGTTAAGAACTTATTGACTTTTATTTTTCTTTATTTATAAAATAAATTTTACAAATGCTGCAAACTTCAAAAAAAGGAATTATGTATTTTATAACTTTTATACGTTTTTTAAAAACTAACAAATCGTTACCAATTTTATTCAAACTCACTTCTAGAAAACTGAAGTTAATAATAAATGGAAACCTAAATTAAAAGTGGTAAAAAAGTAGAGGTAAATATACTTCCCACGGCCTTCGAAAGGGTTAGAACCATTGCAATAGTATTTTAAAGTGGAAACATTCATACTTCATTGGTATAAGCTCTCATAATTCTTACTTTTAACTTATTTAATTAACAAGTAAAAATGATAAGATTGCTTTGATAAAAGATCAAGACCAGGGGGATAAAAATTACACACCCACCAACCTGCAGCTCTCTCTTGGTTAATAGCAGCTCGAAAAATATACGTCATTACGTATTTAAAGTGCAAATTGGAGGCATAATGATGGTACGCACATTAGTCGCTGCGAGAGTCCCCTATATCTGGGAGAGAAAAATTGCGTTGTAAATATTGTACTGTACAATTTGTATCTTTCTTACGTTGTTTTTGCAATATATATTTTATTTATTAATTCCATCAATAAAACTCATGCATTATATTACGCGATTTCAGGAGCTGTGTGCCACTGGTGTTGGAACCGTGCTGTATTTCATTGTGTCTGTGGCTCAGCTGGGTGCCACGAATAGAAGAGATTATCATTATGCACTTACACATCATGGATACTATTCATCTTACATAGCTGCTGGGGTCTGTATATTAAATATTCTCTTCATATATAAGTTTCATTAGCTCTCATAATTCTTACTTTAAGCTTATTTAATTAACAAGTTAAAATGATCAGTTTCTTTTGATAAAATATCAAATTCGTTATTAAAATTCTGCATGTATAGTTAAATCAAAATTCGAGTTGAGTAAACAAATTATCAAAGTCATTAAATTAAACGATTAAATCAGTTGAGGTTCCAGTTATGAATTAAAAAGATAAAAACAGTTTTTGAAGTAAAAATTGATGAATTCATGACTCTGAAATGAGCAGACGAGAATCACAGTTTCTCCTCAAAATTAAAATACTAACTTCTTTTACAAATAAGATTTTGATCAACATATTAGGATTTCTGGTTTAAATTAGAGCATAAAAGCTAAATAAGGCATTATTTTAAATTAATTCAATACCAAACTTATAAACATAGAAATTTTATAAAACTATGTTGCGATATTTACTTTTTCAAAAACTGCAGTTACAAATATTTATTCAAAAAACTGAAGCCCTCAAAATTTGGCTATTGATGACGAACATAGATGTAAGTTTCTCTATTTTTTTTTTTTTTTTNATTAATCATTCTTTTTTTTTTTTAATTTTTTTTTTTTTACACTTATAAATATTCATTTGGATCGTATGCGAAGTGATTATTTCTCGTATATTTCTTGATTCTGGGTCAGAAACTAACTGAGTTAACTGTTGTAGTAGAATTTTATTTCAACTCTTACAGTCGAAAAAAGAAATTTATTATTTCTGTAAACGTAAATCCGTAGGGCTGTTGTTTGTTCTGAGGGAGAAAAAACTGGGTGAAAAATCATTTAATTTCTAGCTGATTTTTGTAAGTAATAAATATCCGCGATTGCAAAGATTTATTAAGTTATTTTCAACCATAGGAAACAGCCGTTGTACATGCATCAACACTTTTAATAAGTCTGGGTTGCCTTGGTTCAAACATGCAAAGTAATACTAAAATATACAAGTATTTAAAGAGCGAAAGGAACTGCGAAAGTAGCAGCGGAAACTGAAAGCAGAGCAGAGATATTAAATTTATATACATTTCAATACTATTTGAAACCTACATTTGAAACTAACGATTCATAAAATTTCACATATATGCACTTATAAGTTTCAATATTTAGAGACACAATACTTAAGTCGCTTATTTTAATACAAACTGGTAATTAAATGTATAAAAGCCAAAGAATAGATGAGAGAATAAAAAAAGATGAACCATAACAAAGTTAGTAAAAATAAATTAAGTATAGTAAACCAAGATGCAGTATTTAAAAAAAAAATACGCCTGTGATAAATAATTATTTCTTTTCTATTGTTCTTTACGGCTTTTACTATTAGAAGTTAAGAGATGCCAATTTGCTCCGGACACCAAATATATTTTTTAAAGTGGTAGTTTATCAATTGTGATTCTTGGTTTAATAAATTCAATTTAGTAGATTTTTATCTACCACTATTTCTAAATAATTCGTAGGCTTATATAATTCACCGCTTACCTTTTAATAAATAAGCAAAAATAGTCAAATATTTGCAAAATTTATTTTGTAGTTATTTAAAAATTTTATAATTAATTCGGCGAGTCCGGAGCAGTTGGCATCTCTGGAAGTTTAATTAGAGTTAGAAATACGAAAAAGCAATGATTCGATTCAAGTTACAAACTTATACACGTATGATTTTTGGACAGTATGGTGTATTTCATACAATGGCTGTTCTGTTCTGAATCCCCAAGAATATGTGGGTGGATATCCCAACATCTCATAGAAGAGAGAATATTTTCACATGGTTTACCATAAACAAGAAGATCTGTCCTTAGTTGCCCTTACTTAGTGACTTCGTTCTTATTTTCCCCCCACTTCGCAGCACAGACATCCGAACGCTGTTACATCTTGCTTACTTTAACTCCACTGCGCAGTTTATGTTCGTACCTTCGGACTACAAAAGTGAAAGATTTTCCTGCAAATGCATTCGCTCTTGTAGGAAGTGTTGAGTATCCTCATTGGTTCTGTATATCCCCATGGACAGGCGGAATTGAAGACTGCTATTATCGAAACCTAGAATAATATTGTTGCTACTACCCTTCAGAGATTGGTATATGGTGTGCAACATTGAAGATTTAAAATCATATATAAATATAACTGATATATTAGGTATTAACAGAAACGACTTTATTTCGGTTGGACGCTTTTTTTCCTGTCCCATATGGGACAGGAAGTGAGTTATTGCTTTAAAATCTGTTTATGTCCAACATAGACTTTCTTAATGTACATGTTCCGATCTCATTAGTTTCTTCTGTATCCCGTTATGGCACAAACTCAAGGTGACTTTATTTCAGTGGGACACACTGCATTAGACGATGTGAAATAGCAAATCTTTTTTTAAAGAATTAAGAAAATTAAAAATTAAAAAGTTTAACTTGAAAATTTAAAATTTATTATGAAATTAAAAAAAGTTTAGTTACAAGTTTATAAACAAAAATTTAAGTTTTATAAGAGGTTAAATTTGAAATTTAATTCATTATACAATTTAACAACCGGGCTGGCCGTTAAAGACATACCGATTATAAAGAGGGCATCGTTGGCTCAGGTTCCCACCTTTTTTCAGAAGTAAAGTGAAGGTTTAATTGCGTTCAACGAGCTCGTTAACCATTTAAACGCGCATAATAATGGATAAGTCAAATTTTTAAGCCCAATGGGTGACAAAAGTAATTAAATCTAATTAATTTAATCACAAATGTTTACTGCTTTTTCAATGAATGCACTTCCACATTATTATAAAATGTAAATACGGCAAAAAAAATTTTGTACATTTTGCTAGTTCAATTACTCGTAGTATGTGCATTTCAAAAAGCGGTCTGAGATACTTCATTAGAGGGGCATTGAGCCAACGTTCAAGAGATCGTGAGTTCGATCCCCACGGGCCAAAGACACCCCGTGCTGTAAATGATGACTGGTGCACGTTCAATCTGTAGAGTCACAAAGTCTCCATTGTGATCTGGGGATGTATTAATGGGTCCACCCTATAAACGAGTTGTGAAGTATGTGTGTGGCAGAAGTCGAATTCTTGACCATAGATGGGCCTCTGGAAAACAAGAACCTCACTCCCTTTGCAACTATTGGCATGCGACAACAGCATTGTAAAAAGCAGTAAAAAAATACCGGTAATTGTTACTGAGAAATAATTATAGTAAATCAAAAGTTAAAAATTATTCTAAAATCTTCATAAAATAAAGAAAAACACGCAAGATAATAAATTTCATACTACTTGCTGAGGAAAATAAATTTAATTTTGATAAAATTTAGTATGGAAGCATTTTATCCGTATTTGCCAAATTCTTATTTTGAAGAAACGGAAAAAGTGTCTTTTAAAAAATGGGTTAGCAAGTTCATATATATGTGCGAAAAAATGTTATTCACTCAATTAAAACAGAGATGCCAACTGCTCCGGATACACCAAAATAATTAATAAAACGATAAATAAACTACAAACTAAAGTTTGCAAATATTTTACTATTAATGCTTGCTTTTTAATAGCTACAGCATGGCATAACTACCATAATGTGGTGAATTATATAAGCCTACGAATTGTTTAGAAATAATGGTGGATAAAAATCCACTAAATTAAATTTATTAAACCAAGAATCACAATTGATAAACTGCCACTTTAAAATGTCAGAGATGCCAACTTGCTCCGGACAGCAAATATATATTTTAAAGTGGTAGTTTATCAATTGTGATTCTTGGTTTAATAAATTCAATTTAGTAGATTTTTATCCGCCACTATTTCTAAATAATTCCTAGGCTTATATCATTCACCACTTTATGATACTTCTTTTATGATATGCCTTTTAAAAAGCAAGTAGAAATAGTCAAATATTTGCAAAATTTACAGTTTATTTTCTTACCGTTTCTTTAATTATTTTGACGTGTCCGGAGCAGTTGGCATCTCTGAAATGTATATTTGCTATGCGGAGCAAGTTGGCATAAACTTAGCAATTATGTGATAATTAACTAGATAATCAAAAAGTATATAATTTTATGTAATTAAAATATTCTGGTTGATAGGGATATTCAGCTTCTGCAATTGTAAGAGCTAAGAATGAAAGATTTGAGTTACCAGTCTGTAACAGTTTGAAAAAAAGTTATGTTCCACAAATATGTAACATTAGCGCACCTGGTTATAGAAAATTTTGTGTCTGTTATGTTAAATTTGTGCTATATCAAATAGCATGTGTATTATTAAATAAAAACAAGTTCATTAAATGTATCAATCTAACCCATTAATTCCTCAATCGTATAAATGCAGAGATGCCAACGTGCTGCAGACAGCAGATAAATAATTTCAAGTGATAGTCTTTTAATGTACGATTTCTTATTTTGTAAATTTGATTTATAGGGTTTTTACTCACCACTACTTCTAAATAATTCAAAAGCTTATGTCATATGCCACTTTGCAGCAGTTAAGCTAAGCCCGGTGAAATTTTTGAAGATGAATATGGACACTTCCATTGCTGGTCCAAAAGAGGAAGTTATTGCACGCTCAGCGATTTTAAAGTGCCCGAAGGAGCTNTGTTTCTTTTATATTTGTGATGGAACTTTAAGGTTAGCAGTCTATGTAGTGGCTTTTATAATATTTCTTTCTGTTGGACTGCCAACTTTCTACGCTTTATGAAGAAATTCCTTCTAGTGGTAGCTAAATTTATGTTTTAATGTATAATTCTTACTTTTGTAAACTTGGTTTGAAGTTACTTTCCGCAACAATACATGCAAATTATTCAAAAGTTCATAAGAAACGCCAGTTTGTTTCAGCTATCTCGTGGTGAGGTTTTTAAAATATTGGCCAAATTACTAAAAATTCAGAAAGCTTCAGTTTTTAATTCTCTACGCCTTTATAAAATATTTTGCTAAAAGCATAGAAGTTGGCAGCCCTGTTTCCGTTACGTGTCACTTCAACGTTGAAAGGGTAGTGACTTTAAAAAGAAAACTTCCGATCCAAATGTAAATATTTTTGTCGTGAAACATATAGCAATAGGTAGAACAGTACTTTCTTGCTTGAGCAAGAATCCTTACAAATAAGCACTTGCGCCACCCCTTTTTTTAATTTTAATTAAACCTCGAAATGAGGGGGCCCTAGGCCTGGGCCTCTCTGACCTTACAATAAATCAGGTCTTGCTTTCTATTTGGATCCGGATGTTATAAGAAATGCCAATAATAGTAATAAATTAGAAAAGTGATAAAATTTATATGAAAATAAACTATCTTTCCCTCATCTATGCAGAGATTTTATCTATATTGTACTTGTGCTTTTGCTGAGGTAGATTATTGAGTCCCTGTACGCGAAGTGGACATTTTATCTATATTCATAACCATCAATATTCTAATGATGCTAATTTAACTATTTAAAATGGTGTCAAAGTTAAAACTTTCATAATTGATTCTTAATTTTATAAATTCGATTTTAAACAATTTTTACAAAAAACCCTTTAGTCAATAATTATAATTTAAGTCAATAGTTACTAGTCAATACTTTATAAAAATCAGCTGATGAAAACTTCCCCATTAACCCCTCTTTGCACCACCGCCAAAACCCGACTCGTGACTTTTCACCACTAACCGAACTCAGCTGACAAAGGGGCGTTAATGGGGAGGGAAAAATCTAAAACATGCTTTTAAAGTTGGTCAAAAATTATTCTTCTTAATTCAAATCTCAATTCACTCTAAGTAGAAAAAAATTTTACAATCTCATAATCACTAATTAATCCCACTTTGATAATTAATAATGATTTTTTTTTTATCTCAGTGCTTTGGAATTTTCAATTTTGCTGCATATGGAGCTGGTACATTTTTCTTATTCATGGAATGGAAGCAGTCAAGAACACCAGCAACATCTACTGCAGTGGCGCCACCAACAGCTACTTCAAATAATCATTGATGGTCTTAATGAGTTGAAAGCTTGACTGTAAGCTTATTGGAGATGCAAAAAATTTTGTAAAAAGAGGCGTTTGCAAATACCTATTTTGTTTTCCTGCTTGAATTATTGATAGTTGTGACGAGATTGGCAAGTCTCTGTGGTTTGGGGATATGATCTTTAGAAGATGTAAAAATTGTTGGCATTTAAATCGTGAAGGGTCATTGTGTGAAAAAGCAAACGATTCATTTCATCATATTAGACTCAACAAAAAAATGAATTCATCTTATTATCCTTTATAGTTCACAATATACAGCTAATCATGGTGATTAATTTTATAATAAATTTTCTTGTGCAAAAATGTCAAGTGTATTATCGTGAAATTGTATTGCAATTAGGAAATTTTAAAACTGCTCACTTCCTTCAAGAAAAGTTTAATAAAGAAAATTGTATAATCATCTTGAAACTATTTTTTTCTACAATCAGGAAAAATTATTACGAACATTGTAAGCCTTCTGAAAATATATAATTGCTGAAAAAGAGAGCATTAATTTTGAGAGTATTTTTCTTCGAAGTTGAAAACTTTTTGTTGAATTATAATTATTCAGCAAACTAAGAATTTAAATGAAAACTAAAAAGAATTCAAAACTTTAAAGAAAGTTTATCTATAAATTCTAAAGTCAGTATCTTTATTCATAACTTTGACATTTTGGACTTTTTAAAGAAATTAATATTTTTACAGAATTCAGAAAAATTAATGTTCTTTTTTATTGCGATGCTCTTAAATTATCTTAAAAACACTATCATAAATTATAAGCATGTCTGTTTCCATTTTAAAATTCATATTTTGTAATTTAGCAACAATATATATTTAAATGACTGATTTAAAAATTAATACTTTTTGAAAAATCTGTAAAAAATGCCCCTGTGCCTTTATATTTAACACGTAGAAATTCAACTGTTTATCAAATTTACTAAATACTAAAATCAACATAAATTCTTATTTAATGCAACTTTATATTAAAGTCTAAAAATAATATGCTTTCTTCATTATACATTTTTCAATATCTTGCGAAATAAATGCCCTGAGGAAAGTTTTTCCAACATCGCAAATATTTACTGATATTATATATGGTCTGATATTATACACGAAGACTGATTTTTTTTACTCTGTTTTTATCGCGAAGCTTGTTTAAACTAACAGAATTTCTAAAACGCTTTATATCCAAGATAAATACACCATTAAAAATTATTTTATGTTTTTTAATTAATGATTCTTAAGGCAACATACTCCCGCAATAATTTTTATTTTTGTTTTTTGTTCTTTTTCAGAGCATTTTTTTAAAATAAAATTTTCGAATGAAAATTTTATTCATAAATTATAAACAAGCCCACAACCCAACGTTGAAAACTATTGTTTTAAAATTTGATTACTATTGAAATCTGCACTAATTATTTTTCCCAGCTAAAAAAAAAACATTTAGTGAATAATAAAGAATATAGGTTTCTACATGATTTAAATATTCTGAATTAATATCACCCCCAAACGTTCTTTTTTTTTCCATTATGTGAAAATTCAATCTACAAAACCAGAAAGAAATTTTACTTTTCACTTTTACATATGACGTTATGTTTTATAAATGTTTTATGTTAAAAGTAAATGATTACTTTCTCTGAATGATTTTTTATATCAAAATGTTGTAAAAGGATTCATCCAATTTATACAAATATATTACATTGAAATATTGTACGAATTGTTAGAAAATGAAATTTTTATAACCTCTGTGTGTGTGTGTTTTTATTTTATTTATTATTATTATTCCAAAAAATTATTTGGAAAGGTGTTTTTAAACATACATTCTTCTAAGAAAAAAGGGAAATTTCATGAAAATTATTAAAAATTATTTGGGAGGATGTTTTTAAAGTCGGATGTTTTCTTCTAAGAAAAAATATCTAGAAATTTCATGAAAATTATTAAAAATTATTTGGGAGGATGTTTTTAAAGTCGGATGTTTTCTTCTAAGAAAAAATATCTAGAAATTTCATGAAAATTATTAAAAATTATTTGGGAGGATGTTTTTAAAGTCGGATGTTTTCTTCTAAGAAAAAATATCTAGAAATTTCATGAAAATTATTAAAAATTATTTGGGAGGATGTTTTTAAAGTCGGATGTTTTCTTCTAAGAAAAAATATCTAGAAATTTCATGAAAATTATTAAAAATTATTTGGGAGGATGTTTTTAAAGTCGGATGTTTTCTTCTAAGAAAAAATATCTAGAAATTTCATGAAAATTATTAAAAATTATTTGGGAGGATGTTTTTAAAGTCGGATGTTTTCTTCTAAGAAAAAATATCTAGAAATTTCATGAAAATTATTAAAAATTATTTGGGAGGATGTTTTTAAAGTCGGATGTTTTCTTCTAAGAAAAAATATCTAGAAATTTCATGACTGAATTATTTTAAAGATATAACCTCTAATTCATTTTAAACGGTATTTTCGGTTCTGATAAAATATTATATAAAAGTGATGCACCCTATATTTTTCACTTAAGGTGTAAGAAAAATGCAATTATTTTCTTCATTTTAGTAGATTTAACGTACTTATTAATTCTTAAAACTACACCGTACGTACGTCGTCGGTCTACCAAAACGAGTGAGTCATTCCCTCTGCAAAAGATCAAAATTTTGATAGCATACCTTCGGATCACCCTCAGGGATATCTCCCTTACCGTCACCAATAGTTCAGTGTGCAGCTCTAGCTCGACGAGAATAAAGTAATACTACTGCTAATTTTTATTTTAATTATATTTTTGTGTCAGTCAGTTTGCTTGTGCCGGGCAGTGGTCAAAATATTCAATAGTAATATAATGGTGCTAAATTTTGCTTTCAGCATCTTGTAAATAGATGTAATAGTAAGGCCATTAGGCACAAAACAGTTGAAATTTGAGCACTCAAGCTGGTGTTCAAATTTCAACTGGAAGTGGTCAAAATTTCTGTTGACGATTAATTGTAAATGGGGATAATTCCTGTTTGCAGCCGTCGTGAAACGATTGAAACTTACATCATCAGCAGGCACCAAGTGTTGTGACCTAATCACTCTAGCTAGTTGGAAAATGGCCGAAATTTAGAATGACGATAAATTCTACATACAGTTCATTCTATATCTAAAGCTCTACTTAATGAGATTATTTAATTACTTCAGTAATTAACTATAAGGCTAGATCTTAGTAAGAAATGTCTTCCACAGACATGACTTATCTATAAACAGGCTTCGAATTTAAAAAAATTAAAAATTCTTGCCAAATTTGAGATTTCAGTGTTTTCCATTAGTTTATTAAGGGTAACCCATTTTCTTCATTTTCAAAAACTTAAGTCTTTATTGTAAGGAAAAGTCTGAGAATGACCCACGCACGTTTTCATTTCTCCAAACCGTCGTAGTGTTTAAATTAAACAACAAAAAAACGATATTTTTTCAATTTTCTGGAACAAATTAATTTCAAAATAAGTAAATTCCAATTTTTCGAGACTGTGATGTTATTAATTTATAACGAAATTACTGCAATATATGTAGGCGAAGTACTCCATATAAAATTGCTCGTTGCTACGACGTTATTAACTGATAAAAAAAATATGCTAGTACTTTCAAAATAGAGAATTTTTAGATTTTCTTAACGGTGTGCGTTTTGGGACTTAGCATTTTAGAGATATACTTCGAATTTTTAGAAATTGTCATTGAATATCTCCAAAACTGATTTAAATAAAATTTACTTTTAAAATACTTCCACTCCCCAACTATTTATCACTACAATGTGAAATTTGCGATCACAACGCTCGAATACGCCATCTGGAGAGAAGACCGGTTCCATATCTTGACCCTTGCCCCGTCTCTCTCCTTTTCTCAGTTGCATGGGAATGTACTATGGTATTTTCTGTATTTCAAAGTCAAAAATATTTTCTAAAATTTCCCCGGCGCTTTCCTTAAGAAATTTGTAAAATGCAATATTGAGTTATAGTTTCCTAACTTAGTTTTTAATATATTTGAAATTCAAGACGGAAGCTTACGTACTAACTTCTCCTATGCCTACCCACCCTCTAAAAGTGAAAGCATGCGAACTGTTGCCATATTTAGAGAGTTATACTCTGAACAATCTGTAGCCCATTTCGATCGCCTAGTCATTGTTTTACTATGAAAATCATCGAAAGACGAAAGCTGTATCTATCTATCATTTGCTGATCGCAATATTTTTTTCTCTTCCCAAATAACAAAAAAAAATTTATGTGTTATCAGGAATATTAAATTGTCACACTTTTTTTTCTAGATATATTACTTAATAATTAACGAATGATTTACGAATGCATTAGTTCACATCGTATTAAAAAGATTCATTTTTTTATTAATTAAAATGTGCAGGACCAAGGTTTCTACCGGTCACGGATTTGTTCCAAATTCAATGATTTTCAATGTTTAGACTGTACACAATGGTTCTTCAAGGAAAAGTAATAAAATTTAAATAACTTTGGAAGCTCATAGCTCTAACATACAAACCATGGAACATCTATACCAACTTTTGCTGGATTAGTTTAGTGCTTTTCATCAAATAAGTTGTGCAGTCCACATGCATCAAATAAGCGTCTACTTAGTGTGAAAATTAATACTACGTTGTGATGTAGGGCTGCAAGTTTGTCACGGGAAAAAAGATTCCAAAATCGCGGGAAATTTTGAAAATTACACAAATTCTAAACATGTAAAAATTTATTATATAAATGATGCAAAAGACAGAAATTGCTCAAATGATAAAAAAAAGTCTAAAAATACACAACAAAAATATTTCTTTGAATTTCAAGCAACATTAATATTTTTATTTAAATGAACAGAATTTTGGTACAAAGTATTGTACATTGTCAGATTATTCTCATTCATGCTTCGTCTTTCATCACTTTATACATTTTTATACCTAGAAAACGATCTTTCTGCGTCAACGCTGTTTTTAGGCACCGACAAACTTCGACAGGCCGCTTTTGCCAATTTTGGAGCGTTCGGTCTTTGATTTCCAAAACTCGATCAATTTTCCTTCACCAACGTGCAATTCCTTGACCCTGGACCGTTGCTTTGTAAGAAGTAATTGTTGTGAAAACTTAAACATTCTACATTCAAACTACTAGTTACAAGTCCCTACTAACTACTAGTCCCTCCCCCCTTCACCTAAGAAACTGATCCATATTTAAGAAATCACAAGAAGCCGCCTAGGAAAAATTAACTGGATATGTAGAAAGGCAGTAGAAATTTCATTGCCCAGCGCAATAGCATGTATAACAATTTTTCTGTCAAAGATTTGATTTATAACATTTTCCTTCTTTTGCGATTCCAATTTCTTTTGTACTCTTACTGACTTCAGGGAGGTAATTACCCTCCTTAAGTGTAGAAAGACCACCTTACTTGACAAGGACAAGATAGTGATTATCTCTTATCTCTGAACTATTTTTATGTCATTTTGCTATTGATTCACTCCCCTAAATATCTAATCAATTTTACATGTTCAATTTAAGGTTCAGGAAAATAAAAAATTCTGTTTAGTAAAAATAATAAATAAAAAATGGGAAAAAAATCAAATTTTAAGCAATTTTTGAGCAAGTCTAGACATATTGAGAAATTTCTCGGATTTTAGGAAAAAAGAAGACAATTTCGCGGAAATCATCGCGGAAATTCGCGCCGCGACAGACCTGCAGCCCTAGTATCATGAACAAAATAATATATAATATAACAGTTGCCTTATATTTTCAGTCCCACAATGGACCGTAAGTGTTGCGAATCCGCCACCTCCATCTAGCGGACTAAAACCAAAACTCTGTAACTGAAACGGATGTGTTTTTTTATTATTGCTTTTTTTTTCGAACGAAGGGAGCAACCGCTCCGATAAAAATGGATGCCTCTACTCTTTAATTGTACATTTGTAAATACCATAATAAAATTTTCCTATCATTCCTTTTTATCAGTTATTATTAGAACCTCAACGAGAAGAAGGTATTTATTTGCAGGAAAATACGGCCAGGCCCGCAGTGAATAAAAAGCGGTTTGTTTAAAAGAAGAGGTAAACTTTTACCTAAATGATACTTTATTGGATTTAAATCACGAAATAAATTATCTCTTTTTTAATAGTAAGATAGGTTCCCAATCGATCACAGAAGTCAAAGCATCACTGGCTGCAGTCAGTGAGTGGGTGGGGGCAGTGGCGTACGCAAGGGAGGGGTTTATTGAGCTCAGACAAAATATCAAAAATAAAAATTTTAGTAGAAATTATGCGAGCTATTATTTTTTAAGACTATATATTTTTATCTGCCTTATGCCTACTTTTTTTTTTCTCACGGTATTTCTCAGAATACTGAAAAAACATTAACTATAATAGGGTTGTACTTTTGAAACCAAATTCACGTGATACTGTTACGGACTGGTTCCTTTCTGTCCTGCCAGTATAGTTTTCGAGACTGGCTGTCATCGCGAGATCTTGACGCGATGATTCTGGAATCCTAGACGTTCTGTCGTCCTTGAGACAATTCGAGAATTTTGGAGATGCGGTGAAAAATTATATAAAAGGGGGAACGGAGTACAGTGGAGTTAGTTAGTCAGACTAAGAGTTATCTCTGTCGCTTGTCTTTCGGAGCTTGTCGCTAAATCTGTTTTGATTTATCTCAACAAAAAGTTCATTCAATCGCCGAACCCGTCGTCGCCACTATTTCGACTAGTGAAGAAATCAGTAACAATACCATTGGAGATACAGCGCTCGTTGAAGTTATTCATTCCAGCTCGAAACTTTGAGATCGTAGCATAGCGGATATTTCTGTGCCAATATATATATATATTTGCTGTTCTTGGATCTTTAGGATGTCAAAACGCAAGAATTTAACAATTTTTAATTATTTTGAGAAAAAATCACGACCTGAAATTAGTGAGGTGACAGCATCTAGTACCAATGTAAGTTTTTCTGTTGTACAGAAATGTGATACTTCCGTTGAAGAAAACGTTTCTAGCATAACAAAATCTGATGAATGTGAAAGTGGCCCTCAAAGTGTTACTTCCCACCCATATGACATTGGACTTTTTTCAGAAGATATTACATTATGTTCTTAAACTTAAAAAATCAAATCAAAATTTAACTAAATGTTGTCTAAATAAAAAGTCAAAATTGTCTAGCTGTCTAAATTAGGGAAATAATAGTGCTTTATTACAGACTCGAATTTCTTTTAGTAATTTCAGAAAATTATGAACACCCCCCTTGAAAAAATTCTGCGTACGCCACTGGGTGGGGGACTATCGTATTGTGAACTATCCTTGGTGGTATCCAAGTAAGACACATAATAACTAAGGTATAAGTTTAATAAAACAACAAAACATAACATAACAATAACATGCTTACAGCACGTAACAAGGTTAGCGCTGAACATCTATTAGGAATGTGTATATATACTCTCTGGAAAGGTAAGACAGCGCCACTATTCAGAAACTACAGGCTGTCGTCGTTGACTCGTAGTGATGACGGAAGGTGACGTCGGTTGACATCACAACAGGGACCTCTTTAAATAGATTGCGAAGGGACGGGACTGATGGTGTCCTTTAAACTGTTGTACCATAAAGTGTTTAATCGTAAAGTATTCGAAAGTCGCAGATAGTCGGGCTACCAAAGATGGGAACCATCCCTTCTGCAGAGGATTCAAATTGTGATGGCATGGCTTGGTTTTTTTCCAGACCGTCGCTAATAGCCCATCGAGCAGCTCTAATGGGAAGTAAATAAAAAAAAACTACAACTAAATCTTCAAATTATTCATTCTCAATGCATGCCATTCTTTTACTTTTGATCACCGTCAGGAGAGAAAGAGGCCTTGATTGGTGAATTTTTCGCATGGAAATATATTTCAATAATCAGATTTTCAGTCTTCTTCAACATTGATCCGAGGTATGGGAATCGCCTGCAGTAACAATGGTCCTGAAAAAGACGCTTGATTTGATTGTGGTGTAAATGTTGCACTCGAGCTACGGAATTAATTCGGAATTAGTTAATTTACGTCGCACTACTGCTGCACAATGGGCTATTGGCGACGGTCTCGGAAACATCCCTGACGATGATCCGAAGACATGCCATCTCAATTTTGATCCTCTGCAGAGGAATGGCACCCCCGCTTCGGTAGCCCAACGACCTGCAGTCGCCCACCCACACACTGACCGCAGCCAGTGATGCAGGACCCCTAGTATGAAGTAAAAAGAAAAAAACAACTACAACGATAGGGTTACTAAATGGGTAAAAATAGAGAGCCAGAAACGTTATTGCTTATCTTTCTGTTTGTTTTCTTCCTAGTTCCCAAACAAACCAAGGAACAACTCGAAAGTTTAACGACAGCATCTACATTAAATTTTTATTACGAAGACGGTAATGAGATGTTAATTTAAACATAATAAATTGAAGTTTTGTTTGTCATGATGCAAGTGTGCACAAAATTTTATTCGCTCTTTCAAAGCTTTCTTATTTTAATTTGAGTTCTGAAGCAGTAAACTCGTAAAAATTAATTCTGATTAAAAACAGGATTTAGAATTGTAATAAAAAAAGAATGAGATTGCTTATGAAAAATATACCTTCAAAAATGTACATCTCTATTGTTATTAGAAATAAGTGGATTTCTGTTTTGAAATAATGTTGTATTAGTGAAATGCATTTTTCATCCTTTTTTTTTCTTCATTTTTTTAAAATTTTATATTATTTGCTTTATTCTGGCCAAGTAAAAATTATTAATTTTAAAAATATTATTCGGGTCCTGTTTCCAGATTTTTATTGGAAAAAATGTCTCAATTGAAAGCATATGAAATTTATCATTTTTTCCCCTCTACTTTTATTGCAATCTAACAATTCTTTTATTTTTATTTAATATCAAGCAAAACAAAAATTAATAAAAATACCATTGCACTCCTATTATTTGGATTTGCAATTTTCCATATGTTTTTTAGAGGAAAACACTGGAAGTAAATAGTTATTGAACTTTACAGAAGGCACATCTGTGGGTTAATATTAAATAATAAATATCCAGCAGAAGACCCTAACCCAGTGTTTCCCAACGTGGGGCCCACGCCCCACCGGGGGGCAATTTAATTGCAAAGGGGGGCAATTCAAAAATGGACTTGGCATGAGTTTAAACCTTTTACCCTGAGCCATTTAAATGCAATGTGAGATTTCGGTGACAAAATCGAAAGAAAAAAGCAAATTCTTAAATAATTGCGGTCAATAAATATTATGTGACTGAGGGATTTTTTAAGTGACAAACCTGAAATGAAGTATTTTTTTACAGTCAATGGTAAAGCATTTGTGAGTTATTTAGTCAATATCTTTGAAAAACTGAATATATTAAATAAGAAATTTCAAGGAGCAAATAAAACCTTGTTGGTGCAAGAGCGAAGATATATGGCTTCATTACCCTTATTGAGTTATGTCAGAAATATATTAACAACAAAAACTTTGAACAGTTTCATTGGCTCCAGAAATGTGAAGTAAATGATACCCCTTAACTTGTTATTGTCTATTATCTGAAAATTCTATCGGCTGATTTGAAAGAAAGATATTCTGATTTAAAACAAATTTATTTTCCAACATGGCTTGGCTTCGTGAGGAAACAGAAAACAAATACCCAAAATCAATCAAATGTGCAAGAAAACTATTGTTACCGATTCCATCTTCATATTTAGCTGAATGTGGATTTAGTGCTGTAAATGATTTTATTGGTAAAAAAAAATCGTCTAGATATAACACAACGGGGAGACTTGAGACTGAGGCTAACCAAATTGGAACCTAAGATAAAGTCTACGTGCAGCAAGCATCAAGGGCAAGAATCTCACTTAATTAAAATATTAAATTATTATAGAAAAATATTTATTAAAATTATTTCGAATTTGAATTTTAGTTCTTCATTATATGTTCAGAAAATTTAGTTACTTTGTTTCGCTAACAATTTCCTACGTTTCTTAAGTGAACAATTCGACTTTTTTATTATTAAAAATTATGTATATGTTACATAAGGGGGCATAACAATTTCAGAAAGGCTTAGGTGGGGCATGGTACAAAAAAGGTTGGGAAACACTGCCCTAACCTATCTAAAACAATGTAGACATACCAATTATCTGTTTAAGGCAAACTTATAAATTATAGGATACAAACAGATTTAGTTTTGATCATAAAATAACTATGCTATAAGTAATGGCCTTTTGAAGATAATTATATGGGGTTATTTTTATATTGGTGTTTGTTCGTTCCATTTTAATTCACTAATTATGACTTCCAGTGTTTCTTATACTTGCAATAAGCTTTAAAATTTATTTATTTTATTACATTGATTCACCTTGTGTGGTTGATAATTTGACCCATTGGTTTGCACTATTGTGCATTACTTTTTTTTTGTGTGTCTGTCATTCATCAAAACTTGACAATAATTTTGGTGTGTGTATCTAAGGGAAAATCTTTTTATTTTTTATCATTAATTAGTCAATTATGAAGATCATATTTGATGCTATTAGAAATTTTTTATATATTCAGTGTGTGACATGCTCTTTTAATATTTTTAATATTCAGCATCTTTTACCATCATAGCCATTGCAACGTCATCCTATTTCTAATTAGCTGAATATATAACGTTCCTTGAAATATTGTTTGCTTCAATTTTCTATTTTGGGGTAGGGATAGCCTTGGTAGGGCATTGGACCCATGTCCAGGAAGTCGTGGGTTCGATCCCTTCCAGCCGAAGACTCCCTTGTAGTAAATGGTGACTGATGCACGTCAAATCTGAAAGTCCTCGATGTTCCCGTTACAAATCATACTTCCGGGAGTACTGATCCAGGATTTCCTTTGTCTTCTGTATTGGTTCAAAATTACAAGGCTACAGAGTTGAACATTAGTAGTTGTAAATCCAAAAATTGAGTCAGCTGTTCAACAACAGTTATAAAATATAGAAATTTTCTATTTTAATGCATTTTAAGTGTAACACTGTTTTCTTGTGTTATACATCTGATACACTTGATAAATAATGAACTGAATATTTATTTTTACATGATTTGTGTAGATCTATACATGATATAATGATGGATTTCATCTGTCTAGATATGCTTTAGTTTTTTTTCTTCTCGAATATGTTTGCCTAGCAGGGANGCGTAAAATTTATTATCGTGGAAATTCAGCTTTTTTGCCTTTTGGCTAATCTCATCCCTGGCCTAGGGAACAAATCAATTAGGAAGATCATATCTGATGCTAGTTAATTCTATTAGAAATTTCTAATATATTTAGTGTGTGACATGCTTTTTAATATTCAGCATCTTTTGCCATTGTAGCCATTACAACGCCATCCTATTTTTTTTTTGTTCTGAATATGTAACTTGTCTTGAAATATTGTTTGCATCAACTTCCTATTTGAATGCATTTTAAGTGTAACGCTGTTTTCTTGTGTTATACCTTTGATACACTTGATAAATAATGAACTGAATATTTATGTTTACATGATTTGTGATGTTACATGATATTATAATGATTAATTTCATCTGTCTAGATATGCTTTAGTTTTCTTCTTCTTGAAAATGTTTGCCTTAGAAACAAAAACTTCTAAACTTCTTGGTTGGAATTATAAGTACCTATGTACTTTTTATGGCATTCTCAATGTTTGTGAAATAGTAAGTATAGCAATTTATTTAATTTTTTCTTTACATGTATACATATATAGCCCACATTACATCGATTTACGATACTATCGGCAGGGCTGGGTTTTTGACGTCAAAAAGTGGTTTTTGACATGACAAGTGTATAATACTGGTTTAAACCGTCAAGAACCCGTCAAAAATGTAAAAAACTAAAGTTTGCCAANTTCTGTGGAAAGAAAAAGTAATTTTTTTAAACGAAAAGTTTATCTGCAAGAACTCCGTAACGTACTGCGACAATGGCACCATGTCGCTGCGATTCTGCCATGGGGATATATAGTAGGGATCACGTGCTGAAAATTTTTCGATTCTCCAGCTGCATTCCCAAGTAATAAGCTAAAGCTCTGGCTGCAGTTGTTGTACTATATATTTACGTGTGCATTTGGGGTTCAAATTTTAATTATAAATTTTTATTATAAAAAAATAATAACATTATCAAGTACTCTGGCAGAAAATGCAAATTTAATTTAAATCCAAGTTGATTTATTTATTCATTCTTAAGAAAAGAATTGAATCTGATTAATCCTTTTTCATATTTGATCTTAAAACTTTATAATTGTATTATAATGCTAAGAATAGTCTTTCTATAGCACCTTTGTTAACAGGCAATATCGTTACAATGGGGCAGGCCGCTTGAATATCTATAGGATATAATGAAATTGCTGGACCATGGGAAAATTTAGAGCACTATTCCCAGCTCTAGGAAATCAACAGCTTCAGAGTGTTCTGGGTCTCTGGTTGTAAAGTCATTATTTTTTTTTATCTACGCTAAATCTATTATCGAAGAACATTCTTCTAAAATGCACAAAAGGCTATAAGTGAAAAATAATTGTATTTCTTAATTTAATGTATAAATTTTATTATCTCTAATAAAATATGAAACATTTAATTCATATTTTTTTTTATGATTAAAATATTAAGCTTGCAATTTCATTTTTTAAATAAAATCTTATAAGGTTTTATAAAATGTATTGTATACTATGGAAAACATAATTAAAAATTTTTCACTTACATGATTACTTTTTTAAAATTGGGAAAATCAGCATTGTTTTTTGTATGTATATCTTACTAGTTATATATTTTAGGTGATTTGTTACGCATGCTTGGATTTGATTCGTAACTCTTGCCGACCAGCATATTCACATTCCACTGGAGGATTTGTTGGAAGTGCAGCTGAAACTTATTTTTATCTTGCTACATGTGCTTGCATGGTTATAACTTGTATTTTTTTATGTTCATTCATTGTGTCTCATATATCATTTCTCTTGATGGAAAGAACAATTCTAGTAAGTTGATTCCCCAAAATCATAATTTTCTTATTTCAGTGTTTCTGCTAAGCTTTTTAATTAAGCTGAATAATTTTCATAAAACTTTTCTTTTCCTATATTTTATTTTGGGGAAAATGTGACTGTATGGCATCAAGATTTCTGAAAGCTGAGCACCAATGTTAATACTATTTTTTTTAAATTAATGGATCTGATTAAAAACTTGTAATTAAATATTTAACTATTTCTATTAAAAGATTTTTAATATATAATTATCTTAAAATTTAATATTAAGTAAAACAAATTAAATAAACTTAAATATTTATTAATTTTTTTAAAATAATTTTAGTACACAAGTCTACAAATCCTGAGCACTCTATTTTTACAGACCGAAATCAGTGCTAATTCCTATTATTTTATAATTTATTATTTTTTTTACCTGAATATTTTTTGGAAATATTTTATTCTGATCATAACCTAGCCGAATATTTTAATTTTATTTTCCTACCAATTAGGATGACATCTCTTGCTTTAAATGCAAGCATTCAATATGTTAGTTTTAATTTATCATTTTATACATTTGAGTATTATGTAGGTATGTAATGAATTTAGTTGGTATAACTGCCTGCATATTAAATTTGTATCTCCAGATTTTTAACCTCTTTATTTATTTTTAAAGCATTATCTTAACTTAAAAAAAATTATATTAATTTTATGTATTTTTTAAGTACAGTATTTGTTTTGTAGCAGCGTTAGGTTAGTACTATAGTAGTGGGCTCATACTAGCACACTACAAATGTCTATTTATTTTTGTTCGAGACTTTTAACCTAACACTGAAACTGTTCATTTACCTAGCATTGCATAGTCAATCTATCATTGCATATAATTTATATTCATCTCTGAATAATTATACTTTTTTCGTAGTTTGATTATATTTAAGAACGTTAGAAATTTCACTGAAATGATTATTTTCACTTTACAACTACTATTATTTAACTTTTCATTTTGCATTTACTGTTATTTAAGTAAAAATTTTAAAGCAGGGAAATTTGTATTCGCTTATACACATTTTTTAAACGAAATGTTTCTTGTTTGTGCAAAATGTGATTGGATTAAAATAATTCTTGTATTAGAAAAAGCAGTGTTGGCTAATTTTAAACCGCAATTAAATTCTTAAAAGTTTTTTCTTTATTTGTTTTTTTTTTTAGAATGAAAAACTTAGTTTGGATTTTTAAAACAAACATACTTTTGTTATTTTATGATAACTAATATGCTTTTGTTATTTTCTGTGCTTATATGTATGCCAACCATATGTTCATATTTTTATTTGCTTTTCATTACTTTATTAATTGTAAATATTTTTTCATTAAATTCAATGTCTTTAATATTTCCTGAACCTTTATATTAAAATTTTTATTCATTCATTAAAAAAAAATTTCATTACAGCAATTAATTGTTATAAATACTGCAAAATGTATACTGCTAAATAATGACGTTTATGTGAATGCTGAAATATAAAATTCTTGTATAAACTAAGCTATCAAGAGCAAAACTTCTTTTATACAAGCACTTCTAAAACAACATTTAGATACTAAACATTTAATTGCATGCTAAAGTAATAAATAAGTTGTAAAGTTATAAATAAATGTCTTTAAGATCTTTAGTTATTATAATTTATTTCTCAAATTCATATATTTATGACATTCTTCATTCAAAATACTATTTTTTTTAAACGAACCAACAACAAAATAAAGAGTTTAACAGGAAAAAAAAAACTTCAACCATAGCTATTTTTTTATGCATATAAATTTAATAATTTTATGCCAATTTCCTCATATAAGTCTGTATGGCTGTTGTTCAAAGTTGTGACCAAAAATCTATCTTATATACTTGTTGGGATATTGTGTACCATATACATTGTATAAATTTATTACAAAAATAGTTTTTGTATTATGACTATAAATTTTAAAGAAATATGATCACTTACAACCTAATTCATTTGAGTTTGAAGTTTAGAAGTGTTAATTCAAAAATGATATGAATTTTAGTTTACATCAAATTAAAACTTATGAAATTTTATAATTATATAATTTACACTGCAGTTCCTTGAAAATTTTAATAGTTCTAAGTGTGTTTAATGACCATTACTCTAATGTGAAGATATCTAATTTATTATATGAAAAGGAAATTATGGTTTCATGAAATATTTATCTAATTATATACCAATTTGATTTAATGCATAATTGATTTTAATTTATATTCGTTAGATTAAATAAAGTCTGCTGGTGGAGAGGTAGGAGTCATGAGTTCAGCCCTGGTTGCAGACTAAACAACCAGCATGCATTATATCAGAGATGTACATTAATTCCATCTTTGCTGAAAGTCTTCTTTTCAGCGTGGAAGTTTAGAAAGTGAAATACTGGTTCAGTGTCTGTCCACGTTACCTGATAGCATTTAAAATCACTTACTTTTTTACCATTAACGCATTTGTGCTTAAGGTCATTTTGAAAGGAAATTCCTTTTTCTCAGAAAAAAGATAATAGTACTAGTGTTTAATTAATTTAGTTTATTTTATCACACACATATATTTATATTTACACACACGCACAGTGGGAAATCCCACATCTGGAATCAATGGAACTCGGCAAGTTCAGAAGTAGAAAATAGATTTTTCCGAATAATAGATCTTTGAGGTAAACAAACATTGTATTCCTTATTTTATTAAAAATAAAAAATGGATGATAATTAACATCAAACTCATTCATCAACATATAAATCCACTTAGTTTGCCAATGGCAGTTTTGGTAGCTGTTGTTGCAGATTTCCACTGGTTTTTTAAATTTTGATGTTTCATATCGCTATGATGAAATTCCGAATCAAGAATTTAATTTAATTATTTCTCAATCCTCTCAATAATAGACCTTTCCACTCTGAATTCATGTGATTTTTATTATAATTTTTATGGAATTTCACATGCTTTTAAAAATCTCTGTGTTTTTATATGTTATTTTTGGTTTGGCAATCTTTGAATCACGCGTTTAAATAATTACTTTTCTATGCACGTAATTATTGACAATTCACCCGTAATCAAAAAAGGATTTATGATCGCATTTTTGTCTGTTATTGCCACAAATTTTCATAGTTTTTAAATGATTTTTTAATCACACACAGGTCTTTAAATGATTTGCATTATAACCCACAGGAAATTTTGAATTGCGCATTTGAAGAATCACTTTTTTACGCACTGCATTATTAATGATTCACTCATAAAACTATGTAGTTTTATTGGTTGTTTTTGCGTTATTGTCACGGAGTTTCACAAGGTTTTTAAAAATCTTGATTTTTTAATATTACATTGTTTTGTATGCATATTTTTGAATCACAGATCTGAAGAAATCATTTTTTGAGGCACTGGATTTGTAACGGTTTTACTGTCGACGTGGTTTTGTCGACCACATTTTCCGTAGTTTGTAGAATTTTTACATATTTTTTAATATTTTGATTTTTTTGTTATACTAATACTCTTTGATCTGCATACTACAAATTGTACTTTTAATTGATCCCATTATGACGCCCTCCAGTTGTGACAATTTCATCTCAAGTCCTTGATATTTTTTAAAATGCAAGAGTTTTGCACATTCTGAAACTGAGTGTGTGACTCTTGGCAGTAGTCTTTATGCCCAACAAGAGAAAGACACATAATTTTTTTTCAAACTGTAATGAAATGCCTCCAAAATTACAAAACTCTGGATTTCCTGTTGGTAGTATTTAAACTTTTTTTTATCATATTATAGAGGAAATCAGATTAAAATTAAACAAAAATTGGAAATTGGGTAAAAAATTGAGGATTGTCATTCTTTTATACTTTTTTTACAGATCCTAAATATTAAAAAAAGTTTGTTTTGATTATTAAAGTGTCCAATAAACGGGACCTACCAGTAAAGGGACATCCGGATATGGGACTTTTGAAGGTGTATATTTATATATACTTGATTTTAACAAATATGAACTACCACTTTTATCACTCTGTTGTTTTTCATATGTCAACAGCTTTTTGGGATCAGGCATTACTAGATTAAAAGATAGAGCTATAAAAACAGTACTATGTATTTAGCCATAGTTGAGTAGCATATGCTATATTTTATTTCTGTTTTAATAAAAACCAGCAAAGATAGGATTTAGTACTCATGCCTATAAAAAAAATTCTTTTTATTTCTTAAACATTTATTAATCATAAAGATTTTTATCATCAAAGATAAATTCATCTATATTTTGTTCCTTTTAGGGAATCATGTTTTGGCTTACTGCCACCCTCTTGTCTTTTGTAACAAGTCTCGCCTTAATTATATTTATAAATGAATCAAAGAATGTTGAAATATATGGCTATTCTCACAAAGCAGCTGCCTCTGTAAGTATATTCTGAAGTATATCCATTATTTATTAGATTTAAAACTTTATATAAATTAACTTTGTCATTGTTCTGAGTTTATTAATTTATCAAAAGTAATAGGACGGTTCTACTACTATTTTGTCTCACACGTATTTCCCAAAATTAATTAATGCATTTTTCAAAAAAAAATTTCATTACATATCTTTGCTAGAAATATCTAAGTACAAATAATTATTATTATATTCATAATAAAACTTATATAATTCCTTTGTCTCTAAAGTCAGAAATCGCACAATAAGAAATATTTCAATTTTGTTTTCAGTAGTCAATTTTAATGCATTTGTTTTTATACCACATTGGGGGTTTTGCTTTTGGCCGACCACCTAATCGGAACATATGTTCTTGCACCTCAGAGCCCTAAATCTAGAAAATTTAGATGGGCACATTAGGCCTTAGTCTTCCATGGGCAGTCGTGACACTGAGTTTGATTTTTTAGTTTAGTTTTTACACTAGTGTAGGATTCATATTTAAATTGAATCATTGTAATCTTATAATTCTCTTTATTCTTAAAGTAATGCTTAAAAAATACTTCTTCATTTGAGAATTGTTAATTTTGAAGGATAAGAATTTGTATAAAAAAATAACTTTTAACAAGGATCTATCATGGGGGAAATTAGTACCATTTTACTTCCTTTTCACAAAATTCAAATTTGGCGAAACAGTCGCTTTACGTAAATCGAATTCTTAAAAACTTTCTCCTGCTAAGAAATAAAATTAATTAAAAAAGAACCCTTCATAAAATTTAATTTGTTAGAACTTTCATTTTACTAAGTTTAATTTTATTAAGGTATTAGTATTTTATCAAATTATTACAAAGTCTTGTTTTTAAATTCACATACTTTTGATATTAAAATAAAACTATTGTCACTTCTTAAACTGAATGATTCTCATGATTGAGAATTTTTGTAAAAATATTTTGATTTTTGACAGTTTATTTCTTGATAAAGATATTTTTTCTACTAAAATGCATATATTTTTTTTTCTCTCACAAAGATGAGCTTTAATAAGTGAAAATTAGATTGTTGATGTATGTGATGTTGTATGATTTTGATTAACATCTACTCTAGTGTGAGTTTATACAATGAAGAAACGTAAATCTCATGAGGGAGAAATAAATGTTCTACAACTATAGATCAAATCAATATTTAAAGCAAAAAAAAGCTGATAAAAATCACGAAAAAGTGCTTAAATATTCAATAACTTTTAAACAGATAGTAATTTCGAAGTAAAACTTATATTAGGTTTATAAATTAAAATGGTATAATATTGGAAAATTTTAACTGGAAACTTCGAATTGAAATTACCTTTCTCACTTTAAATACTCAATATTTAAAGCTGAGCAACTGAAAAAAATCATGGCTCAAAAAGACTGAAATTTAGATGAAATTCGAACTGCTGATCAAAAATTTGAGTTACCATCACAAATAGATATTACTCTTCAGTACGCCAAATTTTATTTTCGTGGTTGCATTAAAACTGGCTACAGATCGAACGAACATGGAATTTGTTTCCCCACTAAATTAAGAGTTAATTATTCTAAAACTAGTTTTCAAATCTTAAACTTTTTTATTCCATTGTACTCCCTATACTTATTTCTACATAGATTCAAGTCTTATAGATTTTTTGCAGCAAAGCAAAATGTAACCTATAGAAAAAAGGGGATAAAAATTTTTAAAAAAAGCATTAAAATTGCAATAACTTTTAAACAAATTGAAATTTAAGGAACAAAAAACGAAAAGAGAGAAAGAAAAAAACTCTTGTGTAAAGTTCATAAACAAATGTGGCTCATTCAGTATACCAAATTGTAACTATGAATTGTAGAGCAGCTGATTTGTTGTTTTTTACTGCAGTATACTCCCTGTATGTTTTCTTACACACTTTCGTAATGTCAAGGTTCTTAGTCTCATAGTTTTTACCAGGGTTTCCGCTACGGTAGCTTTTTTCGCAAAATGCGAAAAGACCCCTCAAAAATGCTAAAATTCAACAAAGCATTTTCGCATTTTTGCTAAAGGATTTCACTAAATTCCATTTAAAAAAAAAGGCTTCCGCGAAAAACCATGACGCTAACATCCATGAAAAAAACTTGATCAAACAAGAAGGAGAAAAAATCTAAATATCTTTCGCAAGAAGAACCATGACGCTAGCGTTCACGAAAAAAACGTGATCAAACGAGATGAAGCATAGCGATCAACAAAAATGGCTAGAATATATAAGTTTCACCGAGAAGAAAAGAAAAATAAACTAACCACAAGACAAAAAACANTAGAGGTAACCATCGAAAAAAAGCGATCGAAAACTACATTGAGTGAAATTGGGTGCGTCAAAAACTTAAATGCGTAAATTTCAAATTTCCGAATTTTTTTTTTATTTAAAAAAAATTTTAATTATTTTTTTTCATTTTGTTCAGATTGCGGTAGGGGGCCGCACATTGAGGGTTGGCGGGCCGCATTTGGCCCGCGGGCCGCAGGTTGTGCACCCCTAATGTAACCTATAGAAAAAAGGGGATAAAAATTTTAAAAAAAAGCATTAAAATTGCAATAACTTTTAAACAAATTGAAATTTAAAGAACAAAAAAAGAAAAGAGAGAAAGAAAAAAAACTCTGTGTGAAGTTCATCAACAAATGTAGCTCATTCAGTATACCAAATTTTAACTATGAATTGTAGAGCAGCTGATTTGTTGTTTTTTACTGCAGTATACTCCCTGTATGTTTTCTTACGCACTTTCGTAATGTTAAGCTTCTTAGTCTCATAGTTTTTACACAGCAATAAAAATTTAAGGTTAATTTGAACACCCAAATCCGCGTGTGTAGCCCTTACAAATTTTTAATATAGAGAAATTTTTAAGCATAAATGTTGATTTATAGTGCATATCTCTATATGCTGTAATTTTGTTTACATTTTACTTCGTTTACTTAGTTAAATTAAAAAGTCTGGAATAGAACAGAAATGATATATAGGCTGTTAATATTTTTCGTAAGTTGAATAAAAATCGAGGAAGTTACGATTTCACAAAATTATTTTACTATTTAAAACATAACAAAACATGTGGGATTTTAAATTAATATTTTATCAATAAATATGCTACTTTTGATAACAACAAACTTTTATAAATTTCATAACAATGCTCTTGACTCTTTAAAGAATCATGGATGTCAATATTCCAATTTGAAATTATTTTTATTTAAAACAGTCAAAATTTTATATATAATGTTTACAAAAGAATTCGTCTATATCTTAAGTAGTTAATGTTGAGCTTTAAATAAAAAGCCTTGGAAGAAAATGTTGTGCCTGAAATTTTCTTAGAGATTGAAATTTTTTGGGGGAATATTTTAATATTAGTTAACTATGAATTATTGATTTATTTTACCAAGCCATTAAATTTCAGAAATGTGAATGGATGAATATAGTAAAGGTGAGTCTTTGAATGTTGTTACGAGTCTGTTTATCTACAAACAGAGAACCAGTAACCTTGACCTGAGTGCTGGCTGTTAATTAGCATGTCTGGATGTAAACAGTTTAAAATTAGCTTAATTTGGATCTTCTATGAACATGCACCAAGGGACCACTATTGGGATTTCTAAATTTTTTAATATTTGTCCTACATAGCAGTGTTTCCTAAACCCCGGTCCGCGGACCTGTATTGGTCCTTGGATCAAATGGTACCGGGACGCCCATTTCATTCTCCCAGTTGGGGCACGATCACCTGTTTTTGTTTTTAAAAGAGTTCAAGCGCTACTTCCCAACCACAAAAGACCCATGAACTGTTAAGGAATGGGTCTGTGACCCATTTGTCAACAAATCGGGCGAATCTAGCATGTCTGTGCAAGAAGATCAACTGCTGCTGATTGCAAATGACGGCGGCCTTAAAACTGTGTTCGAGGCAACAACTCTGGTGTTCTGGATTAAAGTCATGGCAGAATGCCCCGAAATTGCCGTCACAGAACTTAAATCCCTATTGCCATTTCCGACAACCTATCTGTGTGAAGCTGGGTTTTCTGCAGTAACAGCAATCAAAACAAAGCAACGGATTAAACTGGACAGCACATTTCGGGTGTCATTGTCGCCGATTTCCCCCAGATGGAACGTTCTCATTGCAAAGAAACAAGCTCAGGATTCTCATTGATTTAACATTCTAGTAAGTTAAAATGTTAAATCACTTGATATTTATTTTTTGGTGTAACTGTAAAATTACGGTAAAATTATCAAATGTAAACGGTAAAATTATCACCACGGTAAAATTATCAAATGTTGACAGGTCAGCGATGATAAAAAGGTTTGGGAACGCTGCTATATAGGGCCAATATCAGCGTATATATACAGCCATTATAGGGCCTATATTAGCTGAATAATGAATATAAAATATCAAGTTAATCTAACAACTCTATATAGGGCTGATATTGGTTGTAAAGTGGCTGTAAAATATCAGGTGAATCAGACAATTCTATGTAGGGCCCATATCGGAAAATAACTGCCCTTTGAACTCTTATTAAACCACAACTCGTGAAGATTGGTCCAATGAGGGCTCAAGTTATTTTGCTGCTAGGGATGTTAAGGATTTATAGATTTCACCCATTGCAGGTTTGAAAACAAGAAATAAAAGCAGTGTGACGTAAAACCAATCAGCTCTTCAAATGTAGCATAAATCATAATCATATTCTATTTTCCTAATTTTGTTATTTCGCTCTTTAGATTTTAGGTCTTATAAATTCTGCTCTCTACTTAATAAACACAGTCAAGTCCTACAGAGCTTGCAAGCTGAGTTGGTCTTATCAGTGTAAGTATTCTCCTGTATTTCTTTTTTAAAAATAATATTTTAATGCACTAGACTGTATTATATTGTTCCTTTTTCTTTTTTAGGATTCTCTGTGATGCACCATTTTGACATACTTTTTCTAGTCTTTTAGCATTTAAACAAGTTCTACACAATATATGATAACTATTTATGGTATTTAAATATTTTAGACTATATTTTAACTATTTAGTTCAATTCAAACACTGCTAGGGTTGTAGTTTTCCTTCCTAATAAATAAAATCTTTTTTTTTTTCTCTTTTTAAATTAAAATTTGTGTCAAAGTTGCTATACAATTTGTTTTCTGTTTCAAAGATTTCTTTATCATTGCAATCTCAACTAAGATTTAAAGCACACATTTATATGCAGTGAAACCTCCTATTATGAGCTCTCCTGCGAAATGGGCTTTCTCAATACGGACTTATTTTTAATTCCCCCATGAATATTGTATGAATAAACCATTATGTACATACTCAGCAAAGCAGACACTCCCGTAACCGGGTGTTAACAGTCATTTTTGTCCTGAAACGTTATTTTCTATCTCTTCAAACCTGACACTAATTTTTCCAAATTTGAAAAAGAAAAAAAACTGTTTCTGTTTTAAATTGCAAGAAGAAGAAAAAATTCAACTTTTTGTCGTTTTTAAAGCATGTAAATTTTTTGCCTTATCCATAACTAAAAATATTGTTAAGCTATTTCACTACTAAATAATCATTCTTTCACTTGCCTTATCTTTGCAAAGAAAGGAGAGAAAATTATATTTACTCTTGTGAAAAAATTCGGACTGTAGCATCTTTTGACTTTTTCATCCGGATGATACCGTTTATGAGATCCCTCATTTTGAAATGAAGTCTTAAATGTTCTAAAAGCTTCTTTCCCACTAAAAATTTCTTTCATTTTTCTTATCAATAATTGAAACTGGCTGAGGACTGAAAGCGCCTATTCGCTATCATATAACTAACTTGAATACCTGTGTTAATAGGAGAATTAAATTCATTTATCTGTAGCTGCATCTAGAATTATGTATTTATATCAAACTTTTTCATGTATTTTTTGTATAGAAAAATATATTTATAATTTTCTATATATGAGTTTACATAAATGTCCTTGTAGATAGTTATTGTAGTTTATTTAATTATTACTATATCCTTAAAAAAAATTTTTTTTTAATTTACGGTGTTAAACTTTGTTATTAGGGTACCCGTCCCATAAACAAACAACTTTCATAAACAGTCAATTTTTCGGTCCCAAGAATGTCTGCTTGACCGTGGTTTCACTGTATATTGGAAAAATTGTATCCCATATTTCTATTGTAAGTGATTAATTAAATTTAATGAAAATTGACGTAAAGATCTTTAAATACCATTTAACATTTTTATTTTAAAAGGGTTGTTCTTTATCAGGATAAAACTACAACTCCTAAAAATTATTGAAGTGAATAAAAGTAAAAAAATTTTATAACATTGAAGCTTTAAGATTATTGAAAAACTTTTTTTCTGACAAAAAACTTGACTCTGCCTTTTACAGAAGAAATAGGTGTGAAATTTTTTTTAAATTTATTATTTATACTAGTTAAATTTTTAAAATTTACAATTTAAAAAAGTGTTTAAAAGTATAATTTTTAATTAATGTATAATTTGTATGTGATATATTTTTTGAAACAGTATTGTTTTTATAAAAAAGGAATATATTATTTATTTTTGTATAAGATCATTTCTAAAGTATTTTTTATGAATTTAAATGTAGTTTGAACAATAATTTGTTTTATTGAATGTCATATAAAATTCCTTTTTAACGAAACTGTTGATGCCTTTTTTTTGTTGTCATTTTTGAAAATAGCATAATCATTTTGTTGGATTCAAATTCTGGACTGCAATATCATTAAATACCTTAAGCAACAATTTGTGTCGTTTTCTATTCCAGAGTTATTATTTAAAAATGTAACTTTTATCTTAATCTTTTTTTTTTATTATTATTCATATGCATAAATTTTTTAATATCCATTTTGTATTTTGGAACCTTTCATTACTTTTATATTAATAATAAAAACAAAATTTTAATTTTATTTATTAAGGAAAATATTTATTTATTTGTTTATTTTTCTAAACACCATTAAGTCTGAAATTGTTAGGAAAAGGACTCCAACCATAAAATCTTTTAGTTTACTTAAAAACTAAAAGTTTTTTTTCTATACACAACAGAGATTTTTTTTTAATTTTTGTGCTAAATATTACATTGATTAGTAAAACATTTAGAATTGCTTCATGAATCTTTAATCATTTACTAATTTATAGACTGATTTCTCTATTAACTATTAATGTCCACGGAAGATTTCAATGTTTCAACTATTATGAAATAAAGTTGTACAAATTTATTCTTCCATTCTGATATCCTCAGATATTACCATTTATTGTAATTAAAAAAATAATTATATATTATAATTTGCTATACGTTTAAATATATACGTATATATATAATACGTTTAAATATATTATAATTTGCTTTATGTTTAAAAATACTTTATAATACTGCTTTATAATACTTGTATAATATTAGTAAATGATCGTGAAAAAAAAGATTTTTTTTTAATAAATAAAACTTGTTATATGATACTTTGTGTTTAGAAATTACTGTATGTACTTTGAATTATGTTATCTAACTGTTGTGGATATTCCTTCCATTTTTAAGATCAAATGATTTGTTTAATTTGTTAAAATTAAAATCCTCTTTGGAAAATATACAGATTTATTCAAGATAATTATGAAAAGAATTGCACAGTTCTTTCTTTCTTTTTATTCCTATTCAGACCTTTAGTTTGCATAGTAGATTCTTAATCTTTTATACTATGCAATTTTAAGTTATAAATTTTAACAATATAGGTAAAAGAGTTTTTGAGTTATAAAATTTTTGAAAAGTTTTTTGAATTTTTTTCCCTAGATACTATTTAACAGATTTTGTTTAATTTTAAATTATGAAATCAAATTTTTTTTTGAAGATTATAATAAGAGTCCATTAGTTTTGACTGGTTTTTAAATTAAATTATTGTGACTATATCTTCCAGGTTGTAACTTTTTCCAATACTTTGAAGTTCAGAAATCTAAGTCCATTAAGAAAAAAATATCTTTATTCATATTTGTGTGTTTTAATTTGGACTAACTTATTTACATATTGTAGGCATCGCCCCTTAAACTCTGAAAGTTGAATCAGGTAAAAAAATAAATTCATTAGTTGAAAAGTAATTCAGGATATGTTTTTTTTTTTTTTTTTTTTTTTTTTTTTTTNTTTTTTTTGTTTTTTTTTTTTTTTTTTGTCATGAGCCTACTTTGCATAAAATTTATTTTCAATAACAATATTTAAAATAAATATGATTTATTTGCTATTCATTTTTTATTTTATTTGCAATTTCAACTTAAGTTTTTTGAAGTTGTAAGTCAAGTAATAATTTTTCTTAGATATATTCAAATGTTTTATTTTAAATCCCTTTTCAAAGTTAATTTTTTTTACATTAAAGTAACAAACATTGACCTAAATTTTTTCAGTGTCAAACATTATTTGAAAAAACATATTAATATTTTTATGTAATGATGACATTTATCGAATTGTTTCTTCTGTTTCCAGAAATTAACTCATGCCTTTTTGTTTCGACGTAATTTAAAAAATTGGTTTTAAAAATCACATCCACAATAAACTCTCTAACAAAACTTTTGGATGAGTATTTTAGTTTACTTATCAGTTATTCTGTATCAGTAGTTCTAGTGCCTTGCTATAAAAATGACACAACTCAAAAATATTAAATGTTAATGAAAAAGTAGAAAGGATATAGTACATACTTTACTCTTTGCAACTATAAAAACATATCTTTGAATCTTTATTCTTGTACCAGTAGGTACATATGCTGCACCAATTAGCACAATTATAAATAAAATTAATTTTTTTAGTTGTATTTTTTTCTTCTTTTCAATATATTGTATAGTACTTCTGTGATTTTAACAGATATTTTTAAACAAATATTCTTATTGTTTCCGAGCCTTGTAATAAAGAATCAATTCAGAAAATTTGTTTAATTATTTGTTCTTCTTTCATTCTTGTTTCTGTAATTTATTTATTTTCTTTATTTTTTAAAGATTTATGTACTTGAGACATTTGTTATACATCAAGGATATTTGTATATTCTGAGAAAACAAGTGCAATTTTTAAAAAAACTATGTTTGAAGAATCGAAAGATTTGGATTTTTATTTTAAGTAACAATGCTAGTAAAAATCGCAATTTTCGATAGTTCCAACTAGTTCAGGTATCTTACTCACAAGTTTCACTGTTTAAACCTTTTTAGGAATCTTTCATTTATGGGCTTCATTGGGGGTAGTTATTAAATATTTAATAATTGAATAATAAATAAAAAGTAATAATAATAAAAAAATAATAATAATTTAAAAAATTTATTACTTCCATTCAACAATAAAAACTTTCTTTTCTTTAAATTCGTCAAAGTTAAAAAAAAGATGAAAAAGTTAATCCTTTTGGAGATTTAAAGAAAATTCTCATGTGGTGAAGCTTAGAGAACTTTTGCAACTGCATAAGTTAATATCATCCCCTTCATTGCCATGCATTGTCTCAGCATTGGCCATGCATTCATTCTATGAAAGAAACTCAATCAATAGTTTTACAAAGTTTAATAGTGCCATTCGCTTATTTGTTATTTTTAGTAAATGCAGTAATAAATTTTGTAGGGTTGACTTTAGTAGTTTCACATTTATTGATTTGTCTCTTTCATATGATTTTAAAAATGACAGATTCCATTTAACAATACAATAATCATGTCATAGAAATTTTAAAGGATGAATTTAGGGATCATCCACTAAATTACTTTTGTGCAAAAATGTTAAGTAGCATATTCATATCGTTTTACATTTTGAGATTTTTGATACTCTAAAATGACTTGAACTTAATTACACATTTTATGTATTGGTATGAGAAAACATTAACTTATTTATACCGATTATTTATTAATTTTTAATGAATAGAACTATAAAAATTTTCCATGCATTGATTTGAAGCTATGAGTTGTTCAGTATTGATAAAATTACACTGAAATTTTTTGTTAAAAAAAAAAAAGTAATCCTGAAATTAAAAACGGTTTAATTTATTATTCTTTTACGATAAAATATGCTTTTGTTGCATTTAAATCAAGCAAATTGTACTTTAATTAGTTTGTTGTTTAAAAAAGTAATCTGAGATATACTATTTTAAAATTATATTGTTTTAAAAAATTCCCTTTTTTTTAAAAAATTATGTTCTGATTTTTTTAACACACTACAAAGATTGCGTAGAATTTAGTATACTTTAAAAACAATTGTATACAATAAAGATGTAATATGACTCTATATGAAATTGATTCATACATTCTCACTGTAGATTTTAGATCAGTATATACCCATTTCCCTTCCTTTTTTAGACTCTGGGTGTTAAGTGTGTGTCATTATGTGGTGTATCATTATGTGTCCAAAAAGGCTTTTCGGTTGATTCAAAATCATTGCTGTGTGTAACCAAAATAGTGGTTTCAGGAATCTATACAATTATGAATTATTTCTTAAAATCAATTATTAATTATAGTATTTATGTATTGTATAATAAGAAAATTAAGAAAAAAGAACTTATATCCATTTTAAAAACTCATTAAAAAAAAATTTGAAACTGGAGTAAAAAAAAAAGGTAGCAGTGTGAAAATTTTTTTTTAGAAAAAGTAGAAATTAAAGTATGAATGTAATTTATATTTTAATATTTAAATGTATGCTAGTTTCCCTTTACTAAACTTGAACAAAGTTGTAAGAAAGAGATAAATTAGATGAATTAATCAAATAACCTGTTTGCTTATGTGATGGGATAAAAGCTTTCACAACAAATTTATGTGTGTACAAGTAATGATAAGGCCACTTCATTTATGTTTTTTAAACAAAACAAAAGTTTTTTGTGCAAGTATTAAAATCTGTTCAACATCTGTCAAAATGATCCTCTTAAGAGAGGTTGCTCAGGAAAAAATAATTACAGGAGAATTAATCTGATTTGTTGCCATGAAGGCTTACATTGTTAGCAGATGCCGTGAAGAACTCTCAACTCGTGCATATCTCAAAAACAATTAAAGAGCAGGAAAAAAATTGGTGGTGGAGTATGATGCAGGTGTTAATTACTACCATCTTCTATTTGATTTTAATTGGAGCAGTGCATAGCCATATTCTGAAGGTATTAGTAGACAGTAAAATACGCTTATGTCCTCAGCATATCCATCAATACATAAGTAGTTGGGCTGCGCGGTCCGGAAAACTGGTGATTATTACAAGTGGAACAATTTTCACAGCATGCAAGTTCGGAGATGAAAACGAGTATACATATATTTCAATAATATTAATTGGAACTTTATTGGCGAGTTTTTCGTGGGTAATATTATTCAGAAATCAAGTTCTCATTTACCTATCTGAATTCGCAGAAGTGATTTTTCGCGTTGTTGTTGTTCATTTACGTCGCACTAGATCTGCACAATGGGCTATTGGCGACTGTCTGGGAAACATCCCTGAGGATGATCCGAAGACATGCCATCACAATTTTGATCCTCTGCAGAGGGGAGGGCACCTTCGCTCGGAAGCACGACGACCTGCACGCGAAGTCGAGCACTTTACGCTGGAACAGTTTAACGATAACTATATATGCTGTAAGAATGGTAAAATGCATTAACTTTCCTATCTTATGCATTAACAGTCAAACCAATGAACACAGGTAGTGGCAATTAACCGAAATATTTTCAGTAATTTGTTGAAGAAGATGTTGAGCATTTAAAATAAAAATATTCTGTCCTAAGCGCCAAAGTGATTATAAGATACGGTACACAACAGATCATCGAAGTCCCACATCACTGACTGCAGTCAGTAAGTGGGTGGACAACAACTTCTATTAAAATACATTAGCTGTAATTTTTTGCATGCTAAAGTGAATGGCCATACATATCCGGTTTAATTTGTCCCTACCCAGGTAGCAAAAAGATATGATNTGCTAAAGTGAATGGCCATACATATCCGGTTTAATTTGTCCCTAACATTGCTCTATCGTAAAGGGCCATTCATAGTGAATTCATAAATATCGCATATGCGAATTCGGAGGAGTGAATGAGAACTTGATTGAGGAAATGTATTTAATCTCGAAAATATCGTCAGTCAAGTTCTCCAAATTCGCATACGTAGTTTCAAATGTTATTCTTGCGTCCACTCGCATTAAGTGTTGTTGCTCCCTAAAGTGCTCGACATAGTGCGTAAGGCATTCCACTGTGGCCTAAGGCTGTTCCCATACGAGGAACGGACTTAAGCGGGGAGTCATCGGCCTCTGCTGAGGAAAACAAGTGGACGTTTCACAAACCATTGCCAGTAGTTCATTGTGCAGATCTAGTGTGCTATAAATAAAATACTAATACTATTATTTCGTTCAGCATAATCTGATCAGAATACCATGAACCGTATGCAGTGAGAATAACGCTTCAAGCAATTGTAATGAAACTTTGAAAAGACAGAAATAGGCAGTATTAAGTATGTCTTAAAATTGACAGAATCAGGCAGCAGGAAACGCTTTTAAGAAATTTACGATTTTATATTCTTGTTTTTAAACCTAAGTGACCTAAAATAAAAGGAATTTAGGCACATTTCTCCGAAAATAGTTTAAGAAAGAACCACGTTTATTCGATAAAAATTATGGCCGCCAGCGTTGTAAGTAGATTATCAATTTTTCATTTCAAATATGTTAGCGTAGTCATTAAACTTCATTTTGTCATCGATTTAAGTAAACCTAAAATATTAAATTTTTAAAAAATATTTTTTTCTTACTCCTTTTGAAATTCAGCAATTTAAATCCTATTGGATACTCATCTCATTTATTTCTTTTACGTTACTTCTTTTAGAGTAAAAATTCTTCTGAACCATTCAGTACCATTATCTCTTGCAATTTGCACCTGTTGCTTAAATAATTTAAAAAGAATATTTAAAATATTTTTTATCCACTTATAATTCTGAAAATGTAACATTCTAATGCTAAACATATAAGCAAATCTATTAAACTGTTGCGAGAAGAAACTTGGAGAAGAGTTCCAAATCCTGATCTGATGCGAAACAATTCCCATGTCTTGTCGATTTCCGGGTATGGACCCTCGAGAAATTGGAGGAGACATCACCGAAGGTCAAAAACGAAGGGTATTACTCATAGCCTTCGCCGGAAAAACACGTACAATTATTATGATTTTTTTTTGTTAATGTGCAAGTTTTAAAATCTATTAGGATCCTTGGTGCTTGTAGCTGGCGGATCAAAATTGTGATGGCATGTCTTCGGATAATCCTCCGGGATGTTTCCCAGACCGTCGCCAATAGCCCATTGTGCAGCTCTAGTGCGACGTAAATTAGCAACAGCTTATAGCTTTCAAGAGAGATCATGATGCTGAAATATCCCTATGACGTGAAGGGACGAAGCATAGCACTCTTTTGTTGAGTTTGAAATGGCTAATTTTTTCCTTCAAATTAAACATCAAGCACAATAATTAATCAATAATAATCATTGTTTATTATTTTAAGTCTTCTAATTATCAAGGGATGTGAGTGTCATGCCCAGTTTGCCTTACACTGAGGTATCTTTAATGTTAAGTGCCACTGCCTGGTATAGAGGAGAAAGGGTCACAGTGTACTACCCCTTTTTAAATCTTTCTATCCATATCTTTGCTTATACAAAGTGTCATAGATGATAGCAGGGTACTAGTTGTATACAAGTAAAAAAAACTGTACATAGGAAATACCAAGGATGCCATTTTTAGCAAATTTTATGTTTTGAGCTGCTTAAAGTAATTTTTTCCACTTTAAAATTTTTTTTTAAAATTTTGTAAAGATTTAATTACTTCCTATAAGTACTAAATGGTATTTCTAGAAGAGAAAAGTATTCTTGTTTTTACGTTTTTAAAAATTGTTTTCATATTTATAGTCTATATAAAATTTCAGTATTATAATTTCTTCTACTTTGACATGGGTCACAGTGGACCACCATTTAATGTGTCTAAATGTACAAATTTAATTAAATAGATTAGCTATTTTAATTAAATTTACATAATGTAAAGTATTAATTCTGAAAAATAATAAATATCTTAATACCTATTATTAAAAATAATAAATTTTTGAATATGATAAATTTTTAAAAATAATAAACATTTGAATAAAAGTATAATTACTATTTAATTTAACAAATATTAGAATTATATATTAACAAACAAATAAAAACAAATATATATATATGAATAATTACAATTTATTATTAATATAGCTTTTATTATTATATTGTAATTTAATAATTATATTCTTATGGTTCTTCCTGATCTATGCAAGTCATCAGAAAATTTGAGGATGTCATTTTGCTGTACGTCTTTATATTTTATTACCAAATTTTAACTTTCGCTGATTTTGATTTATTTTTTGCTTAATAAAATTTCTTCGTTTCATTTGATTTTTTTAATAGAATAGTCTGACTTCTTTTATTTTATTGCATTTTTATTTTATAAAATACTTATTAGAAATAATGAATTACTTATTTCCCTAGAATAGTAAAATAAAGTAATTTATATTATTTTTATATAAACCACAAAGGTTGGTCCTAAAGATGGGGAACAGTGTTCATTTTGAGAGTTTTTTAACTATGCTGTTTGCAATTATAGTTGTAAAAAAATTTAATAAAAAATTTTTTAAAGAATGGTTGATAATTTTTTCAAGCATGTTGCATTGCTACTTTTTGCTTTTAAAAAAATTTTAAATGCAAAAGTGGACCGCTGTGCTCCCTTTATCTTTTATCTTATACTGATGTCCTTTTAAGGCTTACTACTCCTGCCTTCTAAACATTAGTCTGCTCTACCCTATTGAATTTTCTTAAGGTTAAGTGTCACTGCAGTAAATATTCTCTATGCTGACTGTTGAAGTGAAGGGTTACCTTTGTGGTTCCAAATTTGCTCACTGTGATTTGGCCAACTGTGAACTTGAATTTCATTCAAACGAAAGGAAATTATTTTATTTCATTTATCTGAATTGTTCCATTTAAAAATTATTATAATGCAATTATTTGAATTGTCATGAAATTGTAGAGAGTTACGGAGAGAGCAACCTCGCAAAGTTGAAGGAAAGCCCTCCCTCATTAGACATGGATATCAACCAATTAGACATGGATGCCACGTGCCATTGACCACAGCCGGCCAGGGGGTCTACCTTTCTGCATGTAAAATGGCTTGTGCCTACGTGTGCCTCGACAGACTCCTCGGACGGGGTCATTTAAATCTATCACTCCTTATCTCCCCATCTGCTGACCAGACGAGTGGTCCTCTCGCCGTTCAAACCCCCTTCCTCTAGCGTCCACCATGTAAAAGGGGGCGACCGCAAACGATTTGTAGCTTACAAATTATCAATTTGTAATTGTGGGATATCTATTTCATTGAGGAAAGCAAAAGCAGCCTGCCCTCAGCCTTAGCATTCAAGACTGAATCCCTTGACCCACAACAGTTTTATAAAAACCAAAAGCTTTCTGTACCTTCAAATATTCAGCTGAAATGTTGGCCTGATCACAGTGTAGTAATTTTCAGAGCAAAATAATAGTACAAAAGCATTTTTTTTCTTTTGTATTTACCCCATAATTAGTTCAAAATATAAATAAAGAATAATAAAAATCAAACGCTTATTTTTTTTTTCTAAAAAAATAAAGTAGATTTTTTCTTTTTAAAGACTGGAAATTTTTTCTGCAAAATAGTGGGTTCTTTATATGTTATACACACTACTTTCTCATTTGTGTTGAAACTCTATGATTTTGCTGCTTTAGATTCTCTGAAATATTAAAATTTTCAAAATGATTACTTTAAGTTTTTTAGTCCATTGGGTAACATTGTTTTAAGTTTCATATAGTTTCCAAATTAAAATTTTTTGATGGATCTCAAAACCAAGAAACAAATTCATTTACTTCCTTCTTAAAGTTATAATATTTTATTTTGATGAAATATATTTTCTATCATTTGGTACTCATTGGCTTTTAAATTGTTGAAAAATATTTTTTGAATGCTTTTAAACACTGGAAGCACAAATGAAACAGAAAAAGCTTGAGCTGTATTTTTGAGAGTCGTATGGTATCATTGTATAAATAAGCATTGCCATTTTGTTTATCTTAAGTTATTTTAACTATTTTTTAGACAACATAAGTAAATTTTATAACAGAAATTCCATAAGGTTTTGTTTTAGTTATTAGACTAAAGCTAGTTTTACTTGTTGATAACTACCATGTTCAAAAGTGTTGCTATTTTTTTAATGTATTAAGTAAATTGAAATATTAGTAAAAATTTTGATTCTTTATATTAAATTTCAAATTTCAGGATTCAGATTTGCATGTATCATTTGAAGATCAACAAAAGATTAATAAATTTGCTCGACATAATTCAAGATTAGATGATATAATGGATGAACTCAAGGCTAAAGAGGTAAGTAATAATAATATATAAATATTTGCTGCCAATGTAATTATTTACTGCTAATATAATTCATGCCAACTTCTGTATTGGTCTGGAATATATCGATTGATTGTTTAAAAATGTTGTTTGAAGAAATATATTCTTATTTGTTAAAATTAAAATGGTTAGAACAAACACAGGAATTTTAGCATTTATTATATTCATTGCCAAGATGTATAATAAATGCTGAAATTCTTTCAATTTAGTAAATATCTTTGTTAGAATGTTGGCATTTAATAATATGTTAGATTTTTAGTACAGTGGATTTCTAGTAGGTTGACTAACAGTAATAATAAAATGAAAATAACTTTTTTGTGGAAAAAGATAAAAAACAGTTTCAGATGTGCATAAAGGGTAATGATGTATTTTTGAATAGCTAGTCTACCTAACATTTTCGCATCAAAATGTTCAATTTTTTTTTGTTAGATTTTGCCTAAGAAACACTAGCATGCTGGTGAAATTTTCTGAAATGACAATTATTGCTATAGCTATTCTTTTCTTTTGTTATCTCAATCACATTATTTTTGTCATTTCAATCATTTTATTTTTATGCTGTTTGTTTTCCTTTTTTTTGTGCTGGCAGTTATGGAGTTAGGTTTACATATAAATATTTTGCTATGTATTATTTTTTTTTTTCAATTAACTTTCTGGACAAAATGCATTTTTATTTCTTAAATTCTATTCTATTGTATTTTTTTATTCTATTGTAAAACATTTTCTTAATTTTTTATTTTGTAATTTTAGAATGAACTCCAAGCTTTAGAAGATGCTGAATCAGAGCTCTTAATGTGTGCTGATGAGGAAAAAACTCCATATCCTTTATATATTTTTTATTATTAGGCAATTTTAATCTTTTTCATTCTAACATAAAATAAAATAATTTTTATCCTTATTTTATTTTTGGTTCAGCACAAAGCAGTTTGTACATTGTAAATAATTTTTGAAATCGGAATAACTAAAGATTTCATTAATTATGTACTTCACATAGTTTTTTTCCTGCCCCAACACTTGTCCCAAAATATTTTGCTGTTTAATAGGATCACTTTACCAACCAATTCTGCTGCAATTTATCCGAGAGAAAATTTCACGCTTGACCCTTGATGAAAACTCTATAAAATGGCAGTGGGTGCTGTAAATTTCTGCAGCATCTACTGATTATTTCTCACCTTAGATTTTTTTTAAAAAAAAAAGTTTAAAAGTTTCTAACTGCCTAAAAACATTTAAAATCTGTAACTAAAAAAATTATCTATTGATAATTAAACTTAAGAGAACTTTTATTTTTAAAGATCTGAGTTGTTTCGTCTTTTTTTTTTATTAGTTTAATTTTTAGTTAATTTACTGATAAAATTTTTAAAAATGAAGAAAATTAAAAAAAAAAAAATTCTAGCTGATACCTGAAAGTTTTGTTTACTTAACTAGGTGTTTATACTGTTTAAAAATTTACTTAATTTTGTTTTCATTTTAGAATTAAACTACAAAAATTTTAGCATAGAATTTCTATCTACTTTACATAGGTAAATATTGCTGTATATTTGATTTATTTAACCTGTCTTTTACAGCAATAATCTCCGATTGTACCTGCATCACAGACGAAAAATCCCCTCCTCAGAGGATCAAAATTGTGATGGCATGTCTTCGGATCATCCTCCGGGATGTTTCCCAGACTGTCGCCAATAGCCCATTGTGCAGCTCTGGTGCGACGTAATTAACAACAACAACACAGAAGAAATTGAATCCATAAATGTAGATGTGGCTGACTAACTCAGTAAATTCTGTTACCAAGGCAGGGTATTTCAATTGTTCCAACTGTTAGATTGATATTGCAGATATACAGGAAACAACTTTCTTTAAGCAATATAAGATTGAAAGCAAAATGTGAAACTCGAATTTGTGCTCTTTTGGTGAAAATGGAAAATGCAATAAAAAAAATAATAAGGACAAAGAATCTTTATTATTAAAAAGTTTGCACAAAAGCTCAAATGAGCAACTACTAAAACTGTACATCAAGAGCAGACTGAATCAAAAGATTCCTGCTAATTTCCGGACATCTCTAGTCGTGATGGCAATTTGAACGCTACTTTTTATTTGGAATTTACTCCTGGTTAGGTCTATCCATTTCCCTTTTGCAGCTCTGCACATGCTTCTGTTTTAGCCTTGTCAATTTGAATATTACACAATGTGCTAATATTTTAATAAATTAGAATTAAAGGAATTTTGTCTGCCGCTAAACACAAGCAATTTAGAGAGATGTATATAAGGTCTTAGATATGAATTCTTTAATTCCATTACTTTTTTTTAAAGTTTCTGTTTGTTAAAAAGGTTCTAGTTCCCTACTATTTAAAATATTATTCGTAAAAGTCTCAAACAGTTGGAGTTTCTGGCTGTCCGTTTTAGAAAAAAACCTTGCGTGGACTTCTGAGAAAAATTTTTTTCATCTTCTGATTACCGTAAGAAATCAACTAAGCACTGAAGACAAATATTCACAATTTATCAATCAAAGGTGTAATGATCTGAAAAATGTTCAATATATTTCAAAAACATATTTAAAATGTTATGTTCTGTAAGATAAGATCAATTTTAGATTTTTTAAATAATTTTCTGCTTAGCATATATCTAACATGTACCTTAACGATATCACATTTAGAATAGGTGACGTTTTTGTTTTTGTAACTATGGATCAAGCGCAGGAGATGCTTGCAGATAAAAAAGAGAGCATTTCAGAAGAAGCTAAGGTTCTGAAAGAACAGCAAGAATCTATAAAACAAACTATGTCAGACCTTAAAGTGCAGTTGTATGCCAAATTTGGGAATAACATTAATCTTGAACCAGAATAAAAAGGAGAAAAAAATGAATATGGTAAAAAACTTTTTTATTACTTTTCAATAATATTTTTTATGCTCGCCCCTGATGACATTTTGGATCCGCTCTACACGAACTAAACTCAATCCCGGTTGTTGGGCTGCACGCTTCCCGTTATTTTGACAATGTTTTGTTGTTTTATCTATCTCATTCGCCTTTTAATTCTGTTTTAATCTATTTATTCACTACATTGGGCTTTTTAATTGGCTTACTTACATTGCCTTTCCTTGCTTTGCAAATTTTAGAGTCGCCTTTTAATTGTATTTGATAATTGTTTGTTTTACTACTTTACATCTTCACCTCCTTTTGTTTTACATTTGAGATTTTCTTGGCTCCTTACGCCTTGTTCTTCTGTCTTACCTGTTGTCAATTTGTCATCGACTGTATTGGTTCTTTAACCTATATTAACTTGGGACCTCCGTTTACCTGTGACCTTTTAATGTTTTCTTATGTTCACTTCAGGTACACATTTTTTTTTTAAAGGTTCACTTTATGTTTTACTGTTCTTGAATACATCAACAGTTTATACTTTGTGTCCTTTATATCCTGTCACAATGTTAATGATCGCTTTGGTTTAGCGACCCAACTTACTCTGTATTATTACTCGTTTTAATCCTATGTACTGCCTGCACATGATGCATTGTATGTCATACTGTACTTTCCTGCGATGTGTTGTAAAATTTTTCATTTGTGTCTTTGGCTCACTATAAGAGAAGCCCCGTCGGCTTCGGCACTATAAGGTGGGACTCTCGGAGCATTTTAATTATTTTACTGCTGTTGCCATCAGACTATGCAATGTTTTGTATTTTTGCACTTTTTGTATTTTATGTACTTTTCTGTTTTTCTTGATTTTAATAAACATTTACCCGTATGCTCCAAATTGGGGCAGGTCAAGGTAAATATTTCGTAATATTTTTTATGTATAGTAATTTAAATTCTGAGTATTCAGTTATGGGGCAATCATACTGCTCGATTACTACCATTTAAATGTAGCTGACAGATAGTATTTTTTAAATTCTATTGAAACAAATAATTTATTATGTTAATATATAATAGTAGTTACGATTTAATAGTTAAGTTTAATATTAATGAAATTTTACTTTTTGTGTGCTCATTCCTTCTTTTATATATAAATATTTTTACAGCTTAATCTATATGACAAGTTTCTTCTAAACCATGTGAAAGAGAATTTTTCTCTCTCATTATTTTAATCCATTTTATTATTTTTTTTTTCTGAAGGAAATATCAATTATTTATCCAGTTTATGATTGTAATCTATTTTAAGTAATAGTATCTATTTCTAAGCTATTTGATGTGCCAGTTTTAAAAAAGTGAAAATTAGAAATGCAACTACTAGAACAAAAAACAAATGTAATTAATTTTTATAAGGAATTAAAGCAACAGTAGTTTCCTTTATTATTTTATGTAAAAGAGTATAATAAAACTTTGTTTTACAATTATATAAGGAATATTCATGTGTCTGAGTCAAATGATATTTAGCTCAACAGAAATCATGAAGAGATAAAATATTTTAATCACTTATTCTTTAATCTGATTATTAAATAAATAGTTTTTCAAGGTGTGTATTTTTCATCTTTTACATTCTGCATGGCGTCCCAGGATTATTGGGACAAAATTTAAAGTGAGGTAGGGGACATTACAAGTATACAGATTTGCCTAGCAACCTTTAGTCGAAAGCATCTTCTATTCGTCACTGGGTGGTGGTGTTCCCAAGATGGATTGGGAATGGTGAGCCAGTTTTCTGGCTACCATGCTCTCATGATTTGAGCACCATGAATATCTTTTCTTGGGTTGAACTGAAAAGTGCTGTGTATGGATTCCGAAATGAATCTGGTTATAAGAAACGCCTATGCTGTTGGGGATATCTAACAAAATTCAGATGTGTTTGAAAACGTCCGTCAGTCTATTTCCTGGCGGTGTAACACATGCCTGGTTTGAAACTGTGACATTTTCACATATCATCTTCCACATCTCATGTAATATCTTTGACCAATGAAGTATTTCAGATGATGCCAGTCTTATGTCTCTTTCCTTCTTGTACCTGTCATGCTACTTTCCCATGACGTTTTCGACTATGAGTTGCTAAGCAATTGTCCCCTTTTAATATCAATCCCATACTACCTTACATTAAATTTTGCCCCAATAATCCTAGGACACCCTATATATCTACTCCTTGCAGAATTTAAAATATCAAGTTTTGTTAACATTTTAATTTAAATGAAAATTTTAATTAGCATTTTTTTCTTGTTTAATATGCACTAATATCTCTTTATTTTTTTCAGTTGGAGCTTCTTAATACAAACATTAAGTGGAACTTATTGCCTTTGTTTTTTCTAAAGAGAAAAATTTCATCTTCTGCACATTCGTAAAAACAGTCTTTGCCACTTTAACTTTTGAAGGATATCTATTAATACTCATGTTTTAAACAACTGAAGTTGTTTTTCTTTAACTCTTGCTCTTCAAATAAAAGTAACAAATGTTAACTAACCTATGCAATAAAAGGAATCTTATGATGCTTTTTATTTCTTATATTTCATAATTGCAATGTCATATGAGAATTTTTCATTGTCTTGTGTCTGAGATAAAATATTTCTGTAATTTTTTTTTACTGTATACATTAATACAATGTAACAATAAAATTTTGTTCTTGATAAACATTAGTTCCAATTCTTCTCCTTTTTCTTTTTTTTTTTGTATTGTAGTTTTTGATCATTCAAATCACTTTTATTAGAGCTTATGGATTACAAAAAAATAGTAACTTATTTAGTCAGTTTTGTGTTTATATTTTAGTGCATAACTTTCTTGTAATGTTCTAATTACCAGAAAGTTATGCTCTAAATAATACGCTCTGTTAATGTTCTAATTATTTAATTACCATTTAAATCATGGGAAAATATTTTTGAAATTAGTTGACAAGGATGCAACAATTTTTTTTAATTATTATGACAAGTTGTAGGAGTTCTGAAGAATAACTTGAACAAAGAAAAAAACATGTTTTTTTAAGGGAGGCAATTTTTTATTTATTTCATTTCTTATTTTTTAGTTACAATTTTTCAATCATTACATTGTAACTAAGTCCATTTAGCATCACATCACATTCAGCATTATAGTGATTAATAAAGTGAAGTTTGTTCAGAAGCTTAACATTCCATTAAATTATTTTTCATTGTAAAAATGTAACTGTACCAGGATGCAGCTTTTTCACAGTATGCTGAATGTGGTAGCACAGAGAGCATTTGCCTTGCTTTTTTTTGTAAGTTCTGTAAATCTCTGTGACTACAACTGAATTCCAAAGTTCATATGAGGGGGATAGAATAAGAGTCTTAATAGATTTAATTTAAGAACGTGATTTTAAATGTAAGAAATTAGTTTTATTAGGAAATTTTTCGTACTTTATTTTATTACCATTTATAGGGCATCTAACAATTGTACAAGTTGACAGTGGCGTAAATCACACCCTCTCGGTGCATGTTGAGGGGGGGGGGCACGCTCACCAGGAAAAAAAGACTATCAGTTAAAATTAAAATATTTTTTATGTATAATGTAATTTTTAGTTCACTTTATAAATTATATTAACCCTTAACTAAACTTTGAATATAATTACTATATGATAGTGTGTTATTTTCCCCTATTAATAAGAAAAAAATAATTACAATATGGTAAATGTATACAGTGTTTCAATAAAGTGACATAATTCTACTTTTTCATCGCAATTGCTATTTTCTTAAATTAAATTAAAATTAAGGATTCTAATTAACCGAACATCTCCTATACACAGTTTTTCATTCCTTATTATAATTTTAAATTTTTTTTTATGGTAAGTTTAAAATACGGAGCACCTAATTTTATGTACGCTAGTGCAAGTTGACAGCTATGAATATCCAGTTGTAGTCTTCCGTGAATCATGTAAAATCAATTAAGAACTCTGAACACTATTGAAATTAATGGACAAAAACAACCTAATTTTGATTATTTTTGTTTTAACTATTAGCAGCTAGCAAGCAACCTGTCGAAAAAAAATAAAGTGAAGGCAGCTTTTTTAACTTTAGTTTCCAAAAATAAGCTTTCAATTTGCAATTATAAAACAGAGTATTTAAGTGAAACCGAATTTGAAATTAGATATGTGAGCCACCAGCTATATCACATTTTTGAATTGTGTTTATAATTCTAGCTAGTTGTTTGCTCATAGTTATCCACTATGACTTTTGTTCATATATGTAGGGCATTTTTTTAGTTTTATATTTATGACAAAAATATTATGAAGGTTTTTATGTGCTATGACGGCATAATCGTGATTTTTTCTTGAAATGACCAAAAGCAAATAAGACTCTTAAAAATACCGTTAAGGGAGATGAGACTTCCCCCAATAGGTTAAGTTTTGACTTATAAATATGGCATGAATGGTAAAACACAATTACTTATTTGAGAGCTGTGAAAAAAAAATCAGAGCTGTATGTTATATTGTCAAAGTTGAACTGATTAAATTTAACGATAGCTTATCAGTTCGTGTAAAATAGCTGTTGAGCAATCAATTTTTTCCTTAGCAACTTAGATCTATCAAGCCTTCTCACAGTTTATTATGGGTAGTCTGATCAGACCACTATTTAGATTAAAAGTTTACGAAAGAGCCATTTAATAGAAAATCTAGTATAAATAAGAAAATGGTAGCAAATATATGTCTAAAAATTTGTTTAATTTATGAATATGATTGGTTTGTCTTATTTACTTGTCAACCACTACAGATCCAATTATCAAATACATATGATAAATTTCTCTCAATTACTTTTAAAATTAAAATTTGGGTTCATGCGTTCACTTTTAATTAGTCTACGCAGACCATTTATGAAATACCGTGTGGAGACTTTCTGATGTAGGAAGTGATGATTAAGCCCCATAGTAAATGCTGGTAAAGCAATCATATTATTTCGATTTCTTTTACAAATGATAATCATTGAAGCGATGTGATTGAGAAATTTTTGTACCTTAATTACATTGTAATTTAGTTGGGTTACTGCCTCATGATTCATGGTAACTAGATTTGATCAGAAGGAATTCCATGCGTAAATGCCTAGTGAACATGATTTATATACTAACGCATTGGTATTTAATATTTATAGTGGTAGTTACGCCACAACTATGCTGATGCTCACCTATCTCTAAATGTCACAGATTGTTAAATCCATAAACTTGCAAGCCAGAGACTTTTTATGTGAGTAATTTCTCGGGAAATATGTTTGAAGCATTGTCTAACAAACATTTGTGTTCTATCTGAGAACTAAAGACAAAAAAATTCGTTCACTTCTCCTAATAAATTATTTTTCCCGTGTCCGATGTGTTGTTTTCGTAATTCTATCTCCGCGGAAACAAGACTAATTTCTTGTGGCAGAAGATTTTTCACATTTTATTCTAATAGCGAGAGTCTCAGCTTATAACTTCGGTTATTAACCCTGTCGCACCGACTGTCACAAATACATAGCTGCCAACTTTTACGCATTTGGCGTAAAATTTTATTTTGATATATAAAGTGGTAGTAAATATATGCTAATTTTTCTTTTATAAACCTAATTTTTAAATGATTTTGATCACCACTATTCTTAAAAAATTAAGCGTATATATTGTTATGCGTTATTATCATTGTAGTCAGTTTAAGCTTATTCAAAAACAACGTATTTTTTTTCTTAAAATTGAAATTTTGATTCCTTTTTAATACCACTGGGAAAAATCATAATAGAAAGGATTAAAAGTTGGCAGGTATGCAAATACGTGCCAGCATAAAATCGTATTAACCAGGGTAAAAAGATAAAATAGGTATTCAAAGTAATTCTTTAGCAGTTTATTTGTGGGCGGAGTTATAATTGTTTGATTTATTTAATTCACCATTACTTTGTTTAAAACAAAACTATTTAGTTATACTTTGAATTAACATTGATTATACATATGATTAAACCAACAATAATTAAAGTAAAAGCAAAGTAAGTCTGTCAAATTAGAAACGACTACATTTAAGTCACCGGTTTTTATTTAATTATGTCCTGATCCTGATTTTGTACGAATGCTTTTCTGAATCACCCGTCCCCAAGGTGTTAAACCCAATAAAAAAATGTGAGTACTGCACTATCATTTTTTGTTTCTTGACTATAAACAGATTGTTACATCAAAAGTAAAAATATTCAATTAAAGCATCCCAAAATGTTTTATTTGTATTAACTCAGATTTAGTTCCCGATTCGATCTGACTGACTACCTGAATTTAAACCTTATCATTTTTCTCAGTTATTATTTTAGCTTCACGAGGAATTTTATGTCTTGAATTCCTATTTAATAGTTAGGTACTATAAAATTTTTTTAATATTTTTCGATTAAGAAATTACACTAAGGAACAAATTTTTTGTTGCAAATACTTGATAGCTTACCTAATTCGGATATGGGGATTTCTAATCTAAAAATTAGTTTTGCTCCTAAAGCTACAGATTTTTTAAAATGACATTTTTAAACAAAATGTACAAATTTTAGAACGTTATATATAAGGTAGAGTCGCGATAAATGTTGTGACAAACTATTATCGAAGTTAGTCGCATCACCGGGTTAAGTTAAAAATATCGAGAAAAATTATCAAGCAAAAAACAGAACGAAGCACAAAACGAAATCTAATCTATATTGATACAATATTAGAAAGCACTTCTTTTTACTGATATAGTCATGTGAGCTGATGAAGAGATTATATCTTTTCATTATTTTGTTTCCCGGCTTTATCCTTTTTTCTTTCTTTTTTAAAATAATTTTTTTGTTCCAAATATTTTTTAAAAATATTCATTTTAATAATTTTTTTGCATATTTTCTCTAGATTTTTAACTTTTATTACATACTTGCAGCCTATGTGCAGTAAGTAAAACTTAATAATTTTCTTCACTTTTTTCTTTTAGATTTTATTGTGATACATAGATATATTAGATAGATAGATAGACAAATATTTATTCATAATGCGTGCAATATATGAGCATTTTAAAATTAAAGCTTCCGAGCAGAGGGGTTGACTTTCCCTTGAATATTAAACTTTATGGAAACATATAAAATATAATGGGTTTCTGAAACGCGTTTCTTTTTGTTTATATAAGTAAATTGCACTAAAGAGAATTGCATGAAATGGTGCCAAAAATGTTTTATTCTTTTTTTGCAAAAGAAAGTTCGAAAATCACTCCCTTGTGATTATAATTTTTTGCATTTTTCTTGGAGGGGAGTGAGAGGAATGTAAGCATTTTCTGGACAGAATACACGCGGAACAATTTATGATTCAAAGTAAATACTCTTTATCTAGAAACTAAAATTATCTAAGTTTTAGAAACGTTTTGTTTACAAACTTTGCTATGATATTTTTTAAACTTAGACATTGAACACTTTGTTCTGAAACATAAGTTCATTCAAAATAATTTTTATTAAAATGTAATAACTACGAAATTGTTTTTTATTTACGTTATATAAGCGTGTTGTGTATCAAACTTTTTTTACAATAATGTAAGTTATAAATTACTTATTTATTACTTTTTTAAACTTTTTTTTATTACAATTTTCATTTATAAATTTTTGAATGAGGGAGAGGAAATATT